AGAATAAGACTGCAATCAAGTTTGTCCGTATTTGTCACATTCCTAAGATCAAGAATAAGACAGCAATCAAGTTTGTCCATATTTGTCACATTCCTAAGAACAAGAATAAGACAGCAATCAAGTTTGTCCATATTTGTCACATTCCTAAGAACAAGAATACGACAGCAATCAAGTTTGTCCGTATTTGTCACATTCCTAAGATCAAGAATAAGACAGCAATCAAGTTTGTCCGTATTTGTCACATTCCTAAGATCAAGAATAAGACAGCAATCAAATTTGTCACTTTTCTAAGAACAAGAATAAGACAAGATTCTTATTCTTGGCTATTACCACAGATAACATAATGTTACATACTATTACCACAGGTAACATAATTATACATACTATTACCAGTGGCACTCAATGAGGAAGTAGCCATTATTATTGCTAAAAGTTGCATATAGATGGCGTGATTGGTATCGATGGAATTCTTCATAGTTTTGCAAACGTTTTAAAAAACAAAACTGTGTTTTCAAAAATGTTTAATCAATTTTTAAAAAGTTATATATACATGTTAAAATGAAATAATGCGTTTAGAAAAGTAATTTTCATATATTTACTCATTTTGTTATTTTCCAGTACTTAATTACACTTTAATCAGTGCTAATATGGGGCTCAATGTTTTCAAAATGCTTTCATAGATGGCATTGTCGTCATTTGTATCGGCCTAATTAAATGTCTTTTTTAAATTTTCCAATAATAAGCACTTAATATATTATTATTGTAAATTAAACATATAATTTTTTTTTAAGTAAATTAAAAATAGCCGAACAAGCAAGTAATACTATTTCCAATAATACTTATGTATGAAGTGTTGTCATATTAAAAATAAATACATGTATTATCGATTTTTTTTAATAATCGATAACAGGATTTTATTACAGCGCATTATTCGATGATGCTTTTAATGAGTCGTTGTGAACAGTAAATTTTCATTATTATGTATTATAGCAGTGTTCCGTTTCAAAGAACGGAATATAGTAGTACATTATTAGTGTCGTTGGTTATTTACATTTGTACTGAATAATCGATTACATAATAATTTAAAATATCGAGTACGAATCGTAGCTGTCTTCGAATACTGGCAACTGGTAAGATTAAAATAGTATTTAAAAAAAAGAGACAAATCGACCCTAACTCGAATACCATAAAGTTGATTTTCCTTTCTCATTAATATATCATAGCAGTTTGTTTTTAACTTGCGTATGACTCTGTGGTATGATGTTTAACGTGTATTGTTATTATACGGTGCATACATTTCAAAAATTATATTTTAATGTAGGTACATACATTTCATACATGTCAAAAATTATCTTTTAATGTAGGTACATACATTTCTTTCATACATTTCATACATTTCAAAAATGAACTTTTTATGTAGGTACATACATTTCTTTCATACATCTCATACATTTAAAAAATTATATTTTAATGTAGGTACATACATTTCATACATGTCAAAAATTATCTTCTAATGTAGGTACATACATACATTTCTTTCATACATTTCATACATTTCAAAAATGAACTTGTAGGTACATACATTTCTTTCATACATCTCATACATTTAAAAAATTATATTTTAATGTAGGTACATACATTTCATACATGTCAAAAATTATCTTCTAATGTAGGTACATACATACATTTCTTTCATACATTTCATACATTTCAAAAATGAACTTTTTATGTAGGTACATACATTTCTTTCATACATCTCATACATTTAAAAAATTATATTTTAATGTAGGTACATACATTTCATACATGTCAAAAATTATCTTCTAATGTAGGTACATACATACATTTCTTTCATACATTTCATACATTTCAAAAATGAACTTTTTATGTAGGTACACACATTTCTTTCATACATCTCATACATTTAAAAAATTATATTTTAATGTAGGTACATACATTTCTTTCATACATTTCAAAAATTATCTTTTAATGTAGGTACATAACACCCCATGTCAGACCCCTTGTATTTGGAAGAAACTTAAAAATAATGCCAAAAATATTAGATGAATATATTTTTAATACGAATATTGTTTTATTTTTGTTCATCAACTTTATCCCTCACTAACAATACTAGTAGTAGTACATAACCTGGTTTATACCGCTAAAGATATTGAAAGATATACGAGTAATTCAGAATGTTATCAAGTTCAAAATAAGCACACATTACTTGCTTAGATAACAGAGTAATATTACTCGTAATAAAAACATTTGTAACACCCATATGTATACTACGTATGTATAGTAAGTACTTACGCTGCGGCGCCGTGAGACTCGTCTACCTCATCTACTAACCAATAGGAGCGCGCCTCTCGTGTTTCCAGAAAGTTCGCGACTAACGGACGATATAGTAGTAAGGCAATGAGTGTCTCAGTGACATCATTATAATATTTTCTCGTTAAATTTTATTGTAATATACACAATTTCGCACTAAATAACGTGTTACCCCGTTACACATTTCTAATAATGAAAAACCTAGACCAACCCTGTTCACTTAATCTTACAAGATCTGACTTTAAAAATTACGATATCCTCATATAGCCTTTCATTTCCCCTTTCAATACTTTTTCGCATTAAAAAGTAGCCTTTCTCAAGGTCTACATTATCTGTCTACCAAATTTCAATTAAATCAGTTCAGTAGTTTTGGCGTGAAAGCGAGACAAACAGACAGACTGAGTTAATCATTTATAATATTTGTAAGAATATCGCTATTAAAAATAGGGGTTGGTGAAAGACGGGTGAAAATTTAGGCGTGTATGTATTTTCAATGTAACATTATAAATAAATAAAAAATTGTCCATAATACAAAAAAATATTTTTTCGGGGTAGGCCACCCCTATGACTTAGGGGTATAAAAAATAGATAACAACCCTACCTCAGACCTGGCAAGTATACATATCAAATTTCATCAAAATGTGGGAGAAATATGGCAACTAACACTGTGATACAAAATTTATATATAAGATATAGCGGAATTCTCATTAGGGAAAAGAGGGGTACATCGTAGAATACATGAGGTATATACCAGTAAATTAATTGTAGCTAAAACCAGTCTCTTACACATAAAGATTGAAATAAAAAATCATATAGCCCGATTTTGATACGTACGAGTATAAAAGTATCAAAATCGGGCTATACGTATAGCGCAGACGCGTTACAACATATCAAAAAAATAGGCATGGAATGTAAAATAAACCATAACATAATAGGTATATACATTGGCACATAAGCCATATCTGCAGAGTGTCGGCTAACGATATTATACCTACATATTTACATTGAATCTTGAATCGTCCCTAATGAGGTACACGATACAGTTACCTACATATCTATTATATACATATCTTTGCAAAACAGATGTCATGTAGACTGAATTGACTGCCATCTATTTTCATGCTATATAAGCACCCACTAGTAATCCGAACTGCTTCAGATCTAGCGACATCTAGCGGCTACGGTGGCGAAATAAAATAGCCCGAAGAATAGCCCGAGTTAGGAAGGAACCATTTTCTTGTATGGGATGGGGTATCTGTATGTAATATTATGTTATCTGTGCTATTACTGACTGTATCATGATTTGATTGTAGGTATTCTTAGCGACCGGAGCCATACTGACTGGGTCACTAACAGTGGTGCAAGCTGTGATCCTGCAGCAGTCAAAGGTGAATGTTTAATTTATTTTTTTTATATTTTTTTTTTATTGGATTATCACAAAAATTAAAAGCATATGCACACGGAGTGTTTAAGCTTATTTGTGTTCACGCCAATGACCTCATATACGGTTTTAGATGTAACGTGTGTAAGGAGCACTTGATAAGATGATGACTTAGGCTTTGAAGCCGGCTACCGCAAGGGAAACCCCAAGTAGCGCCCGTGACTTGTGACACGGGTGTAGGTTTAAAAGGCCCTTTTAGAATGCATTAACACTCACCTTCACTACTTGCAGCTTCCCCCCAGGCTCGACTAAGACTGGGATGAACCTATTCCTAATACAATTCACTTTAGTATCCAAAACACAACCGGCACGCTCTGCACTCGTCGACTGAATGCCGCGGCTCACCCAACCAAAGAGGATTATTCAACTACCGACCTCCGTATTTATAGACGGAAGTTAGTGTAGTAGGGAGAGAACCGGAGGTAACGGTTATCTTCTGACAAACAACGTGGTTCGGTCTATAAATACTAGATGGCGCTATTTACCAAATAGATCATATTAGATACTCAATTATATTCATAATCTTACACGTGCGTACTCTTATTTAGATATATAATAGAATAGAAATAGAAATAATCTTTATTCAAATAAACTTAATATAATCACTTTTGAATAGTCAAGTTTTTTTATTCTACCGCTTATTCGGAATGCAGATTCATCACAAGAAGAATAAGCAAGAAACTTGTTTGTTGCTCTTTTTAATAAATATTGATTTAATTATATTTACATTAACAAGGATGAGGCATGCGACAATCAACATGGAAACCGTTACGCACTTAATCTCTGTTCAATCAGATAACATTGTCAGCGCTATGAATATCAAGTTAGATATTTTCTACAAAAACATTATTATCATTTATAAATTCTTAAATAGAATAGAAAATTATTTATTCAAATAAACTTACATGGAAACGCTTTTGAATAGTCATCACATTTTTTTAATCTACCGCTCATTCGGAAAGCTGTCATTACAAGAAGAACGAGCAAGAAACTTGCGTGTTGCTCTTTTAAATAATCTGTGCCTACACTTGTAATATTTCTGTCGACACTTGAGACCCTTCTATTACTTTACGTCTCCACTAACATAGATTTAAGTTAAGTGTAAAATCATTCTACGTCCCGACTCCGCGTCCACTGTACGCGTTATTAATAAGCCATATAGCACACTACCAATAAACTTAATAATGTACAATAAATAGTGCAATTATTCTACCTGTATACTCACTACCTACATACTACAATAAATAATACATTATGTAGCGACACCTCATCACAACATATAACGCTACAGTTATGAGAATAACCACCACGCTACAAATCCTTGTAACTTTATTCTGTTCACAGGAAATTAATATAGCTCGTAAATTTATAGTTTCCGCGTGGTTTGTATTACCTTTAGTCCATTTGACGTTATTCAGTCTGCTCTACGATGGACTGCTACGCTTGTTGGAGCAGACCAAAGTTATATGTACCTACATACAACTGAAACCGACCAATTCTGGTAAGAGAAACGTTTTTTAATTTCCTATATATTTTATGCCTATTTCTTGTTTTATTATAGTTTTTTTTTTAGTACATTAATATTTATGATAATGTAATAGGGCTGATTACAAGCTGTGGTCTAGTTACATGCGTCCTCGCGTATGTCTCTGGGCAGTGCCTGAATATCAGTGGTTTGCTGCTTGTATGCTGCAAACAATACACTGAGGTGCTGCCTTTTTACGTATGGGCTATGCACACACACTACGTTACTCATACCGTTTTTTGTTATCTGTATTGCATTTTATTTTATCTGTATAATTGTTATGTATTGTATTTTGTTTGACTTCACTAATGTAATGTGTATATCTGTTTTTATTTTTGTTCTCATTATTTCAGTGCCTTTTGTGTGTGTGTGTGCCTTTAACGTGAATAAAACTTTTATCTATCTATCTATCTATCTATCTTTTAAAAGCCTATTAACCTTATTAAAGTACGAGCATACGGCGCGTTTACTTGCTCTTACTGTAAAACTGTAAATTTATATATAGATATAGATTAACAGTTTTACAGCAAGAGCAAGTCAACAAACAAACAAACTCTTCAGTATAATATTAGTATAGATATATAGATATTTATACTATGTAGTATTATAAAGTTTGTTTGTTTGAACGCGTTAATCTCAGGAATAAAGATACATTTGATTTGATTTGATTTGATAAGCGGTCTTGACTTCTATGTTCACTGTACTTATAATTTATAAGTATTTGTAATTTTACCTACATGATTAAAGATACATTTGATTTGATTTGATAAGCGATCCTGACTTCTTTGTTCACTGTACTTATCTTATATATAAAATTTTCGTGTCACAGTTTTCGTTCTCATACTCCTCCGAAACGGCTTGACCGATTCTCATGAAATTTTGTGACCGTATTGAGTAGGTCTGAGAATCGGCCAACATCTATTTTTCATCCCCCTAAATGTTAGGGGTGGTCCACCCCTAATATTTATTTTTTAGACAAAATTTTTCGTTTCAATTTTTTTATGATACAACATACAAAAATGCATACAATCCTAAATTTTCACACTTATATCATCAACCACTATTTGTATAAAATAAAGTCGCTGTCTGTCCCTATGTGTATTTAAATATTTAAAACTACGCAACGGATTTTGAAGCGTGTTTTTTTAATAGAATGATTCTAGAGGAAGGTTTATATATATAATACATGTACACCCGTGCGAAGCCGTGGCGAGTAGCCAGTAATTAATAAACAAATTACTTCCAGATGACGTGTTCAAGCTGACCAAGCGTGTTTACGATATGGTACGTGCTCAAGAGCCACGTATGTCTATATACGACATATATATATTCGACAGTGGCTTCATGCTCAAGTTGGCTGCCTCCATCTTTGTATATATAACAGTTCAAGTGCAATTCGCGTTGTATAACCGGAAATATGGTATAGTTAATGTGATCTCACCACCGGTTGTGTAATGATTAGCTGTGCCCGCGACTTCGTTCGCATGGTTATAACAAACAGTATCGTGATTATCTTTGGCACGCCCTCAAATATGAATAATTTTCCCCATTTTTGCAATATTTTATGCTAAGCTTCTATTGGTGGTAACTTAATGTTAGCTTAAAGCCTTGCTCGACAAATGGACTATGGAACTGTAAAAAATTTTTCAATTCGAACCAGTAGTTCTTGAGATTAGCGCGTTCAAACAAACATATCTTCAGCTTTGTAATATTAGTATAGATTTATATATTAAACTTGCCGTTACCTGCAACTTTGTCTGCGTGGAAATAAAACAGAAAAAAATCTTAAATAAATGTAGGTTATGTTACTTCTTATAACATTTGCCGTTGCAAGAACAAATAGATAGACAGACAAAAATGATTAAATTTATGTTTTTATGTAAGTACTTAGTAAAAAGCTATCATTTTTTATTAAAAAAAATGAAAGTAAGTCTAAGCTATTCGTTATAATAATAATCGGCGAGTAAAAGTCAAGATCAGTTTAGCTTATGTTATCTGTGGTTTAGCCGAATCAGAGATTACCAAAAACAAAGAAGAAAAAATAAGACAGATACACAGAATTTTTTTTAAATTAATGAAATGATGTAAGTACCTTATACGTATAGTTTCATATGTATTTAGTAAACATATATTGAAATTTCTAAAATAAAATAAGCGTAAGTTGCTTTTATAGCATTAGCTATTTGCGATTGAATGTCCAATCAAAATCGGTCTAGCCGTTTCAGTTAGAGAGTTTCAATTTCAGTTTCAGTCAGAGATTAGCAAAAACACACATACAAACAGACATTTTTGTTAAATTTAAATTAATGTCTTGCTACTTTTAAAATATAAACAGACACTTGTACAATATATTGATTGAGCATTGATTGATGTTTTTTTTTTATGTAATTGGGATGGGAAACCACCTGAATAGCCTGACATAAACAGCCCTATGAACATCACGTTATCACGTGACGCTCGTGATTGGTATCATGCATTGTCATTCACGAGGACTAAGATGTCATGCCTTTTATCCTATAATCTCTAATTGCACTGTCTAATCTGCACCCTAAACCTGAAACACAACTTACAAAGCATGCTGATCAGCCAAGCACAAACGAAATATCTCGTTTGGAAAGTACACACTACCCTGAGGAGATATCGGTCCTAAGAATATCCTTCAATTCTTGTCGCTGACGGGTCTAGACTGCGTAGAATATAGAATAGAATAAAATAGAATAGAAAATCATTTATTCAAATAAACTTAATTTAAACACTTTTGAACAGTCAACATTTTTTTTAATCTACCGCTTATTCGGAAGGCTGTCTCATCACAAGAAGAATAAGCAAGAAACTTGTGTGTTGCTCTTTTAAACAATCCTTGTAAGTATACATTTTACAAGTCGAAACGTAATAAATAAATACAAACAAATACAAACTACCAACCAGCACTAATTTATTTAGGCTCAAATATAAAAACACAATAAGATTGAATCAGTCGTAGTGATAAGAAAGAAAGAAAGAAAGAAAGAAGACCTGGTATAGCAATAGTAAAATGCTTAGTAAAATGAGCGAGAACAAAAGATCTATGTAGGTCGCAGTGCTACAGGTTCTCTAGCTTCGAGTAATAGCACAATTTTTTCAATAAATAAAACCTGCTTGGCGGCTGAAATAGGTGAGACTGAGGAGACGTGTTTTTAGAAACTATCTCGGTTCTATGCTGTGAGCAGTTCAAAATATTACTCCGACAACTTCTAGAATCAATGTGGCATGAAAGTGACTTCAAACTTTTATTAACTCTTCGACAAGTCATCATTTATATCTGCCAGTAACATGATATGCAAACTACCAAAACTAAATACAAACTAGATATGCAAATAAAGTTGAATCCCGACTATTACTTCAGACTAGCGGTGCCCACGGTCTTCCGCGTAAAACTTATGGCCCACGCTGATGTATAAACTATATTATTGTAAAACCCATTCAATAGATTCTGTCTGAAAGAGTCAGAAACATCCATCAATGCATCCACACTCACAAACTTCTTATATAATTAGTAAGATAAATCAGGAGAATTCACACAGCGCACTTTACGATTGGTGTTTCCTAATTCCTTCCAATAGCGATGCCCTTCGGCTCCCAAATAAGAGGATTTCAGTAGATCCTGGAAAAAAAATTCCTTCGCCTACTATGTCTTTTTGATAGTCCTGCAACTTACCTGCAATTCTTCTAGTGTTCCATGAGCACCCATTTATGGCCGGCGATAACCATTTACCACCGGGGAAAAGGTGATTGTTAGTAATGTGGATTGATAACCCCATTGCTAGCAATGTACCATTTCAGGTCGACCTCCACGCGGTTCCCCCCTGTGAAGGATGGAGATTAAGATGACGAGCAAAAAGTAAAACGGCACCGTTGTAGTATGTAGAATATTTTTTGTATTAAATTGACTTCTGTCATATAAAAACAATATAATATTATAGAAAAACATAAACAATAAAAAAGGTATAAAAATAGTTTGCAACACCCCCTGAAAAACAATCGTGTTAAATTCCTGGTGAATTTGTCACGATGGGCTAATTGACCTGACCTCATGCTCATCTTGTCATCCTCCACTGGTGCCCCGCCAGCGTAAACCGTTAGCGCAGGAGGGTGCACCATTCCATTATCATCCATTAAAAAAAAACCATTTACCACCATTGGTGGGAAGAGAATAATGTACCATGTCAGGCTAACTTCCTGGTAATCATCGTGATAAGTTCCTGATGAATATGTCGCGATGACCTACCCTCATGCTCATCTTATCATCCTTCACTCTAGATACATAGTCTAACATTAACGGCTAAAATGAACTACATGAATACATGATTTTTGATTTCATTTACTCCAGATACATAGTCTAACATTAGCGGCTAAAATGAACTACATGAATACATGATTTTTGATTTCATTTACTCCAGATACATAGTCTAACATTAGCGGCTAAAATGAACTACATGAATACATGATTTTTGATTTCATTTACTCCAGATACATAGTCTAACATTAGCGGCTAAAATGAACTACATGAATACATGATTTTTTATTTAATTTACTCCAGATACATAGTCTAACATTACCGGCTAAAATGTCCTACATGAATAAATGATTTTTTATTTAATTTACTCCAGATACATAGTCTAACATTAGCGGCTAAAATGAACTACATGAATACATGATTTTTGATTTAATTTACTCTAAATACATAGTCTAACTAAAACATCACATAACTGGTGTAGCAGTAATGTTATGATCGATCCCATATTTGCGGTCATACAGCGTGAATTGTACCAGCACTGTTATGTACACGAAAATGGAGGCAGCCAGCTTGAGCATGAACCCAGTGTCGAATAGGAACATGTTGTACACGGATATTCTGGCGTCTTGAGCGTGTACAATGTCGTATACCCGCTTAGTTAGCTTGAAGACATAATCTGGAATGGATTCTTTTATATAACAGCTTTTTATACAAAAACAACTGTTCCCGTAGATTCACCCGCGGGACATTTAATATTATATTAATTTATGTAGTTATAATAATAAAACTCTTTATTGTGTACACAAAAAATAATGAGAAAATACAGTAAATAGTAAAATAATAACAAAAGGCGGTCTTATCGCTAAATGCAATCTCTTACTGACAACCTAGAAGAGAGGACTTATGTACATAGAATAGGGTAGGTGGCACACATAAGACACTATTTATTATACTACTAGATATACATACTTACATTAGGGATAAATATATAAACCTACATATATACTACATATTGGAAGAAATGAGAAAAAAATAAAATAAATTAATGTACTATGAAGAGAGATAATGAGATCTTAGTCTATTTTTAAATGATGCATATGTTTGAGCTGATCGAATGGAGAGTGGTAGAGAGTTCCAGAGGCGAATGGCTTGGACAGTGAAGGAGTTGGAATAATATGTGGAGGAGTGAGCAGGGATCGTCAAACATAGGCTTCTGGTACTACGCAAAGCAGAACCGGGGGATTTAATATGAAATTGGAACTTGGTTTTTAGTTATATTGTTTTATCTATTTAACTTTTTTCTAATTTATTAGTTTTGCAAAATGTCGGATATCCATGAAGCATAATTTAATTATTGATAATGATAATTAAAGGTGCCTTTGAAATATAAAGCATAATTTTTAAAAGTAAGTGACATAGCAAAAATCTTACGCGCGCGCTGAGTTTGCGCGCGTTCCTGATCGCACGATTGAATAGGTCATGGAATGGCAGCTAAAGGACCGTTCAAGTACGTAAGCAGATTGATTGCAATTATTTACCCCCATCCCCTTTTTCTGCAAAAGTAAACAAAGCTCTTACCTCCTCCCCACATGCTTATGTAAACATTTTGCAATTTTTTTTTTTTTATTCTTACATTTATTTAGGGACTTTTATCATAATATGATAATGCCAGTCCCATCGTATCTTATTACTAATCTTATCTTCTACTGCACAATGAAAATAAAAATTTTGCTGGCGATGATACAGGATCAGATAGTATACCGTGGTACATACCAACATCAAGCCGATTCAGTCCAATTTTTTTCAAAAACAATTCCCTTTTAACAGCGTCTCGGACACACTCCATTAATATGTGATGCAGATCTTCTATAGTATTGCATGTTTCGCAGTTGGGGGAATTCGATTTATGCATTAAAAAGGCAAATGAATTTAATGGATAATGTCCGGAACGCAGCCTTAATTTTGCAATTATATATTGTTTTTTTTTAGGAAAGACAATATGACGGTTGCCTTTTATGTAAAAAAGTAAATGCCTACCGATGACGTAATCATCATCTAAACTCTCAACCCCCATGCCAAATAAGCAAAGTGAAGACTACAATATGACGGTTGCCTTTTGTGTAAAAAAGTAAATGCCTACCAATGACGTAATCATCATCTAAACTCTCAACCCCCATGCCAAATAAGCAAAGTGAAGACTCCCCGGACCCCCATAGTGCTTACGTAGTACTTGAACGGCCCCTACCTCCTCGAAGTGTTCCTCTTACCAGAATTGGTTGGTTTCAGTTGTGCGTAGGTACATATAACTTTGGTATGTTCCAATAAGCGTAGAAGGCCATCGTAGAGCAGACTGAACCAGACCAAGTTCATAAGGGGCAGAATGAACCAACTAGTCAGTATGATCTTCCGTGTCATATCTATTTCCTGTCATACAAATGAATTGTGTATTTAATATCTGATCCTAATAAATTTGTGCCAGTTGTTGGTTTGAATAAAATGTGCGTACATTTTTTTTTCTTACAGGACAATTCACACAACGCCATCTAGTCCCAACCTAAGCAGAGCTTGTGTTATAGGTATTAGACTAATGTTATAAATACATGGAATCCTTTTTTTTTTCTTGTAAATAAATACATATTATACATAGAAAACACCCAGACCGATACAAACAATCATACTCATGAATACAAATGTTTGTACCGTGCGAGGAATCGAACCCACGACCATCGGATAGTAAAGCGGTGTGCAAAACCACTAGACCACCGAGGCTGTCATTTATAATTGGAAAAGTAAAGTTATGATGATTATTTAAAAGAGCAACACGCAAGTTTCTTGCTCGTTCTTCTTGTGATGAGACAGCTTTCCGAATGAGCGGTAGATTAAAAAATTAGTAACTATGACTATTAAAGAGTTCTTAAATTAAGATTATTTTAAAAAATGATTTTCTATTATGATTTTCTATATTCAAACTCGTCTTCAAAACTCAGACTGTAAAAACTTGTCTGCGTCGGTACCTCAGTCTCACCTACTTCAGCCACCAAGCAACTTGCTTTGTGAGCTGTATTTGGTTTGGATAATGATATGGCTATGGCACAGATAATATTATATGCTATGGTTTCCGTTTACCAGCAGATGGGCTGTATGCTTGTTTGCCAACGTCCCAATATAAAAAAATACACGTAGACGTCTGGGTGACCGTTATGAGGTGTACTATCTGATTGTAAGTCATATAAAAGTACTTTTATTTTTTTTTAAGCAACTTACTACTTATCCTTTCCACTAGTGATCTGCCAGTGTATATCATTAACTAAGTGGGGATATCGTTTCAGATTTATTCGGAAAGACAACAAAGAAAAAAAATTTGATAAAGAGTGACGCCAAAGTCTCCATATAAAATATTCCGTATTTTGCATATAAAAATTTCACTGTAGACCACCTACAGTAAAATGAAGATTTGGTATTGGGATATGCTTTATAATTAGCAGGATCGTTTGTCCAAGTACCAGTTATAAGGACCTTGCCTTCACGAGATATGTCACTGGCGGCACATTGTGACTCCCAAACTTTTGGTACGCTATATCTTGGGAAAGCAAAGTCCTCTAGAACCTGTACTTGGACATATTCTAATAAGTATAAAATCTAGCCTAAAATCAATAATCCGTCCAATTCAAACGGGGATCGAAATTACGATGGCCTGAGCCGAGGTTTGAACCCATAGTGGTGCCCTAAAATTAAAGTCGTATCCATCAGGCGGGAATTGGCCTTCAGCTGCTCCATAAGTCCTTCCTTTGGTTTGGAATCGTAGACCACTATGTAAAATGCGGGCTAAACTTGGCGTGACTCTGTGCAATGCTTTCCTTTACCCAGTGGTGAAACAAAAAAAATAAACGTACCTTTGATTTCTGCAGGATAACGGCTTGCATCACGGATAATGAACCAGTCAGCACGGCCACAGTTGTCAATATAATCTGTGATTTATTATTATTGCATAAGATTATTTTGTTGTTTGTATTAATCTGGAGATTTCTAAGTATATATCTTTAAGTATTTCTGTCCCTTGTCTAGTGCGTACAAATCTGCTTAGCTCGAAACTAGATGGCGCTGTGTGAATTGTCTACGGTTATCTACATATTAATAAGTGAAGCAAAAAGCTTGTATGTCTTTCCTGTGATATTTCATTTCACTTCTTTGTTTTCGCCTACATTTTGTGCCCTGTAATTTGTCTGGATTATCTAATTCCCCCCTCCGATCAATCCTCCGTCCAATTCAAACGAGGATCGAAATTTCGATGGCCTGAGCCGAGCTTTGAACCCATAGTGGTGCCCTAAAATTAAAGTCATATCTATTAGGCGGGAATTGGCCTTCAGCTGCTCCATAAGTCCTTCCTTTGGTTTGGAATGCCATCTGCACTCGCCTCCTATCGTCCAGTGAAACTGTAAAGGCCACGAAAAACCAACAGCATTAAAATAGATAAAAAAATATGAAACTTCGACTATAACAGTTAATAAAGTAAGTTTTTAGTGATTTAAATAGCTGAGCTACAGTTACCCACGCAGCCCTACCTCGATTTAATGATTATGTAACAAAATACATATTTACATGATTAATGCACTTTACTTCACTCGTGTTTCAACTCACCAAAAATCTGTAACAACGCCCCAAAAAGCGCATTTGTTCGTAAATCTGCCTAAAAGCTTCAAGAAAAGTACTCATCCCCGCTCTAGTATGGAGAGTGACGAGGTCATTGTAACTATTCTTCCAGAAGATTCCATCGAAGAGGAACACGTCAGGCATGTACTCCGGGTTCATGTTTGAATATTTCATGATGGCCAGGTTCAGATATTTTATGCGCATACTTAAAAATGAGAAACATACATACGCATGACAAGCATCCAACATCATAGACAATGCTAGCCACAATATAAGTGAAGCTGAAACATGAGTTTCCATGCTCAAATAATCAAAATATATAATATTGAAGGAACTAACAAGTACAACATTTCCAAACATTATTGTTATTATAGCATTATAATGAATTTTCTTGACTCGGTCTCGCATAAATTTTGTTTCGTCGATTCCTAAAATGGCGTCAATATCAACAAAATGGTCGATTACATCTTTGCAATTATTGTTGAAAAATGTTATTTCTCCAGATAGGAAAAACAACATTAAAGTAATCTCAATACATATATGGCCCTCTTCCACTAAAATTGATTCTTCTATAACCACTCCTTTGTACCATATGATCGAAAGTGACACAATTTCTACAAGCATCGTAATGCAACCGTATATCAAAGCAAATGTGGATCCGTTTACGACTTGTTTCTTCCATACCTTCACCCGGCAGAAGCCAAAAAGTCGTGCAATCCAGAAATATATACTATTGTACATTTGGTTGTATTCATCGATGAGATCTATCTTATCCTTTACATGCATGGTGGACGTACTACCAAATTGCTTGTGAATTCCGACTAATGTTGTTATTATTAATTGATATTAATACGTTTTGACTAATCTATCTATTACTTTAGAATTCATTAAGTACATTATAATTATGTCCCTTGATAATTGTATCTCGAACTTCTGAATGACTGTACATTATTTTATTTTAAAGTTTAATTGCATACTATAATAGATGAAATACTTATAAATAGATATGCATTTATATATCATTGCTATATATAATACACGCTATGCCCGCGGTTTTACCCGCATGAAATTTATAGACTATTTGGTGTCCAAATAATTATAATCTCAGGACAATTCACACAGCGCCATCTAGACCCAAGTTAAGGTAGCTAAAGCTTGTGTTATGGGTACTAGATAACAATCGATATCGAACAATAGATACAAAAACATAGATATATTTTATTCGTAAATACATACAGATTATACATAGAAAACTCCCAGTCCGATACCGACAATCATACTTATAGAATAGAATAGAAAATCATTTATTCAAATAAACTTACATTGAAGCACTTTTGAATAGTCATAACATTTTTTTTTAATCTACCGCTCATTCAGAATGCTGTCTCATCACAAGAAGAACAGGTAAGAAACTTGTGTGTTGCTCTTTTAAATAATTTATTCTTACTTACAATTTAAGTTTAAGTGTGTGAATACAAACCACCGATTAGCACTAATTCAATGAAATAATAAAATAGAAAAAACATTCAATATACAATAACTGGTTAAACAATTAATAAGAGAAAATAAGTCATAGTGATTAGAGCAGACCAGTCCACACAAGCAGCACCCGTTCACGAGTATGACGGTTGAGTCAGCCACCACTGCGCTCGACCATATTTTAGGGAGCCCAATGACCTGGCCCACCACGCCGCTACAAGTCTGGACATTTTAGTGAGCATGACTACTCAAAACACCAGACCACGTCATAGCTACTCACAATTGCCATTTGATGGTTATATTATTCACATTTCACATAAGAATGCCTGCGGCAATCAATACAAAAAACGGTACGCTTTCATATTTCTAAAATAATTGAATCAAGAAAGCAATGAGATAAACAAATTATAACGTTGTATGCTAATAAACTAATTATGAATATAAATATTTGTGCAGTTGCCAAGAATGTTATAGAACCTTGACATATTTTTTTTAACACCGGGCAATTAACACTGCGCCATTTAGTCTGACGGTACGCAGATCTTGTGCTATGGGTACTAGACAACTGATATAAATACTTAGATAATTTTTTTTAAATACCTACATAATATACATAGAATACACCCAGACCATCAAATGAGCAGCCCAGAATTACGTGTCACGGTTCTGTCCGCGATGAACTTTTAAACTACTGATTGAATACCCGATTGTTAATTTGATTTGCACATTGTGTGCAATTTGATCTACTTGAAAGATAGGATAGCTTACATCTCAATTTATAGTCACAATATTATTTTATTCAAGAACCTTAGCCACAGCAGTCCGTGGCCGGGATATATATACTCACGATCTACCAAATCGACTCAAGCGCTACCTCCTACATTGACATAACAAACATTTAATGGTAGCGGTTTAACAGTACATTTAGTAAGTAAGTAAGTAAGTAAGTAAATAAGTAAGTAAGCAAGTCATTTATTCGCATTACAGACAGATATGCACATAACAATAAAGCCCCAGTGATAGTAGTAGGCTGCGCTGTAATATGCCTTTTTTCAGTAGGCATGCAAATTTTATTAATAAACCTAATAATTACATATATTAATATCTACATTACAACAATTAGATTAATATTACATATTTAAATTTATAGATTATTAGCATTATTACAATTATTATTACATTATTATTTATAATATTTATAATTGAAATAATCGTCCAGAGTTTGGTTAATTTATTTTTAAAATTATCTCCTGTTAATTCTATTAGATCTGCGGGTAACAGTGCCATGTAAAATACATTTTTTTGAAATAGGGTTAAGTTACTTTTGGGCAACACTAACTTAATTTTTCTGGAGGATCTTACATTATTTTTTATTTGACAGTGGGATGTAAACATAGATAAATTCTGTTTTACAAACATATTTCAAATATGTATAGACACGGCAAAGGAAGAATATTTAGTTTTTGATACAATGGTCTACATGAATCTCTATTACCTAAATTACATATTGCTTGTATACATTTTTTTTGAGCTTTGAACACAGTTTCGATCTCAGTGGAATTGCCCCAAATTATTATGCCGTTTAATTGTAACGGTAACTAGTTGTTGATCTCTAAGTGAATGCTCCAGTCTCTTAATATCGTCTGTTTACTCGGGATATATCCCGACTGCTGTAGCAGACTGACTCAAGTGAAGTTGGGAAGCGATTACTCGCTGACTAAATCTCTATTGCAATAAGGCAACAACTTGAGCGGATCCTTGAGGTGTGGTATCCATGGTTTCTTGAAGACAATGAATGCAGTTTGTTTGTGTATCGGTCAACTGTTGGAAAGTGACTGATGAAGGGTGATTTTTTTTTTTCGGACTACGGCCTTTACAGCTTACAAGGATTATTTAAAAGAGCAACACACAAATTTCTTGCTCGTTCTTCTTCTTCTTGTGATGAGACAGCTTTCCGAACGAGTAGTAGATAAAAAACTAATTGTTATGACTGTTAAAAATATTTTTTTTCGGACTACTCTAATGCTGTTGGCCGCAGATGGCCTTTACAGCTTCACCGGACGTTAGGGGGCAAGTGCAGATGACACTACAAACCAAAGGAAGGACTTATGGAGCGGCTGAAGGAAGTCAACTCCTGCTTAACTGATACGACTAGTCTGAGGGCATCGCTAGGGGTTCGAACCTCGGCTTAGGCCGTCGTAATTTCGATCCCCGTTTGAATTGGACGGGGGATCGATTGGAGGGGATCACTGAGGCCTTCGATTGATATTTCTACATTTGTACCAGGGATGTTAGAGAGCTCCGTAACCGTAACCGAAATTATCGGATATCCGTTATAAAAAACTATCCGTAACCGTAACCGAATCCGAAATAAAAGTTTCGGATAATATCAGATAGGGGTGGAGACTAATGGAGACACGTTATGTAACCGTTTTATTAGCTGTTTGTATTTTATTGAAATTCCTTAAAAAATTTTATCCGTAACCGAAATTATCCGAAACTGACGGATAATCCGAAATAATTTCATATCCACATCCGTATCCGTATCCGGTATAATAATCATTCCTATATCCGAAACTTATCCGTATCCGAAATTTCATATCCATAACATCTCTGATTTGTACAACATTATAATTAAAACTGACTCTATAAAATCGAACCCGAGACCACGTTAGCAACAGCCCTACCATTATCACTACACCACAGAGCTTGTTAAATTCAAATCAAATTTCGTATAAGGTCAAAGAGCAAGTTATCCTATCGCAATAATTAGTGATATTTCACGTTAGTTTGTTGAACATCGCCATGGAGTGCAGATTATCGTTTGGTTTAATACTTTGTTGTATTGTAGGACATGTGTTTGCAAATAGGTAAGTTAAAAAAACTATAATTATATCCTTTAATAAGAATAAACATCTTTATGTATCTCAAACAAAAACTAATACAATTGATGCCCATCTATACCTATAAATAAAATTGGAGTGTCTGTTTGTAATATTGAAATAACCGTTTTTACTACATGCATATGAATATAAATACGGTAGGTACATATACCAAAATAACATTTTTTGCAATTTTTGTAATAAAATGTTATTTTCGTACGCTGTTGTTTTATTGGCAGGTAGCTGTCCATCAGCTACTAAGGAGTAACAGGCTATTTTTATTTTAGGAAAAAAAATATTAATGCTATTTAAATCAAATAAATAAATATTTATTTAACACATTTTGTAACAATATATGGTAAATGTACTCTTTTTTTGTAATTGTTGCATTGTTTAGAATTCATTTTTTGTTTGTTTAATATGTGATTAAAGTTTTTTTTAACTTCTACCGTATAAATATAATTTCATTTCACATATAATATATACACAACCTTGAAATTCTCAGGATTTGTACACCATAAAGCTACAAGGGTACGTAATTTTATTGTTTACCTTATCTACCTAGTGTATTATCACCCTGACCTTGACAATGATTGATTAAGACATGATGAAAGAGGTCATTGTATTGGTCCAATCTAGAATAGATAAGGAGTTGCACCAATTAACAATAATTAATAAGAGGAAAGGAGATCAATTGCACTGTGTTACCGTTATAATTATATGCGCTGTATTTATATGCCAGTTTTGGTTGTATATATAGGAAATCAGGTGGCAATAATAAAAACAGTCAATCTATATGCAATTTAAATTTTAGTTTATTCAAAGTTCCTCTTTGCTGCAACTCCAGCGAGTAACTAACTTTCTGAACCGATTACTCCTTTTTAAGAAGAAGGCTAGTCGTTTCAGTCCTTTCCTCTATCTATCATTACACTAAAATTATACAAATTAGTGGAACATATAATACTTAAAATAGTTTTAGAAAATAACATAATTATTTAGCATTTCCTTGTTGTACTTTGTATTATTATTACATTTTTGTATTATAAATAAGTTATGAAATAAACACGAATGTCTCTAATCTAACTGATTGCAAGATGGCGCTGTATAGTCAGTATAATACTTGAATAGTTTCCTGTTTACATATAATATTATTTCTTACATATATAAGTAGTTTATTCTAATAAAAGTAAATTACAGACATATAAAGTATACATTACTTTAAAAGAGTATAAAATAATCACAATCAGAAGTACAATAGTTTATAAGAATGTCTGCAGAAGAAGCCATTTTGTCGTTAGTTATTTTCCCGCGCAAACGCAATGCGCCACAGATTCACAATCGCACGGCGCGTAGCCGCAGTAGGTACGAGCGCGTCATGGCAGTATGTGATGTTAATACTATGAGTATTAACAACTGTCCTCCTTAGTACAGACTCTTCTTTTGAAGAAATTGATGCACCTGCTTGTCCTAATGGTTGATGCTGGCGCCTTCCATTTGACGATGATAAGATGAAAGTTGAGTTAGATCATCTCGACAAATTCTTCAATAATTTGTCATGATGGTTTCCAGGGTGGACCGTCGAGGTCAACCTGATATTGCAGACTTGTGCGTCAAAGCTACCTTCTATTATTATTATTATTACTAATAATTACTGACAAAACCGTACATCACAATAGACCCGACATAACATTACACGACAAAAAGTATATATAGTAGATATAGCCATCCCAAACACACACAATGTACAAAGCACCGTCAATGAAAAACTAACAAACTATACAGATCTAGCGATAGAATTAAAAAACAATGGAAAGCACACACCATCCATATAGTACCAATAGTTCTATCATCCACAGGAATTATACCAAAAAGTCTTAGCAAACACGTAGACACGTTGCAGATTCGTCTACAATAGAACCATTACAAAAAGCCGTCACTCTCAACACATACCGAATAGTAAGAAAATTTCTTTCTTCATTACTTTTATCATCATCATATAAAATAAACTCATCCACGCTTGGCTTGGCTATTACCCCCGTAAAAAGGGAGAGAAAGGGGCTGACTCAGCCGATGCTGTGAGCGTAACATTTACACATAGGTACGCCCAGCGCAGGTTTTCAGTCAGACATGTAATGAAATATATAATTATGCGAGTTGCTTAGTAGTCCAGAAATTAATCATTTTAACAATTTTTTACAAACAAAACATAGAAAATTCAATTAAAAACGAGATATAAATGTTCAAATTCAAATTCAAAAATCATTTTTTGTAGTATTATGTAGGACATTTTAGCCGCTTATGAACGTCAAATTTTTACATTATATTTTTTTTTTCCTACCGTATAGTTCGGTATATAGATCCAATTGAGAAGAACTGGTATGAAAATCAATTGAATAACTTTTATTTTTAAAATCCAGTTTATTTACAAAGCATAGGTATTTATATAGGTGTCTATGTCTAACATTAAATGAAAATCCCGAACATGAAAACTATTGCCATGGACGCTCGTCATTCAAGTAATCGTTTAGTGAGTTTTGCTCAGTAAATATGATTTAACAGATGGTTTGAATTTATTTTAAGCGTAATTCCAACATATCCTTTGGTATCTTATTGTAAATTTTTATACCTATTCCCATAAAAGACCTATTGACTTTTTCTAAACGATACTTGGGGATAGCAAGTTTGTCTTTAAATCTAGTATTAATATTATGAATATTGCTGTTTTTTGGAAATAAGTCAAGATTTTTATGAACATATAGGATATTTGAATATATAAATTGAGAAGAAACGGTGAGAATATTTGCCTCTTTGAATTTCTCTCTTAATGAGTCACGACTCTTCATACAGTAGATCGCTCTATGTAGATGAAATATCGCATTGCAAAATAAACAAATAGGATGTGTAGCTGGCTGAGAAGATGTACTATATTATTATATTGTCCACAGTGCTAATACATATGACACGATTGTCATCGGGCTTGGATCAGCAGGCACCACTGCAGCGTCGACCCTCGCACGAGCTGGTCGAAGAGTGCTAGCGCTGGAGGCTCAGGATCGAGTGGGGGGACGAGTCTACTCAGTGCCGTTTGGTGATGGAATTGTAGAGCTGGGTGCTGAATGGTAAGTTCTTCGATTGTGCCATAACTTTGGGGGTGGCGGACAGGGTAATCGCCCGGTACTTCGCTTTTACTCTCTCGCATAACAACTAAAGCAAATAAACAACCCTTGAGTGGCATTTTGCCTAGTGGCAAGTTGCAAAGTCTGGGACCTACCTCACTTTTGCAGAGGCTTCGTGTAACAACTAAAGCAAATAAACAACCCTTGAGTGGCATTTTGCCTAGTGGCAAGTTGCAAAGTCTGCGACCTCGTTCTTGCAGAGGCCTCGCGTAACAACCAAAGCAAATAAACTGTCATTGAGTGGCGTTATGCCTAATGGCAAGTTGCAAAGTCTGAGACCTACCTCGCTTTTGCAGAGGCTTCGTGTAACAACTAAAGCAAATAAACAACCCTTGAGTGGCATTTTGCCTAGTGGTAAGTTGCAAAGTCTGGGACCTACCTCACTTTTGCACAGGCTTCGTGTAACAACTAAAGCAAATAAACAACCCTTGAGTGGCATTTTGACTAGTGGCAAGTTGCAAAGTCTGGGACCTACCTCGCTTTTGCAGAGGCCTCGTATAACAACTAAAGCAAATAAACAACCCTTGAGTGGCATTTTGCCTAGTGGCAAGTTGCAAAGTCTGGGACCTACCTCGCTTTTGCAGAGGCCTCGTGTAAGAACTAAAGCAAATAAACAACCCTTGAGTGGCATTTTGCCTAGTGGCAAGTTGCAAAGTCTGGGATCTACCTCACTTTTGCACAGGCTTCGTGTAACAACTAAAGCAAATAAACAACCCTTGAGTGGCATTTTGCCTAGTGGCAAGTTGCAAAGTCTGGGACCTACCTCGCTTTTGCAGAGGCCTCGTGTAAGAACTAAAGCAAATAAACAACCCTGGAGTGGCATTTTGCCTAGTGGCAAGTTGCAAAGTCTGGGACCTACCTCGCTTTTGCAGAGGCCTCGTGTAAGAACTAAAGCAAATAAACAACCCTTGAGTGGCATTTGCGACTTTGAAGTGGCAATGGGCAGGGCACATAGCTCGTAGGACAGATGGCCGTTGGGGCAGTAAAGTCCTCGAGTGGCGACCACGGACCGGAAGACGCAGCGTGGGAAGGCCTCCAGCAAGGTGGACCGACGATCTGGTCAAGATCGTGGGAAGGCATTGGATGCGAGCAGCGCAGGACCGATCGTCGTGGAGATCTTTGGGGGAGGCCTATGTCCAGCAGTGGACGTCTTCCGGGCTGCGATGATGATGATGATGATGATGAGTGGCATTTTGCCTAGTGGCAAGTTGCAAAGTCTGCGACCTCGTTCTTGCAGGGGCCTCGCGTAACAACCAAAGCAAATAAACTGCCATTGAGTGGCATTATGCCTAATGGCAAGTTGCAAAGTCTGGGACCTACCTCGCTCTTGCAGAGGCCGTAACAACCAAAGCAACTAAACTGCCATTGAGTGGCATTTTGCCTAGTGGCAAGTTGCAAAGTCTGGGCCCTCGCTCTTGCAGAGGCCTCGTGTAACAAACAAAGCAAATAAACAACCGAGTGGCATTTTACCGAGTGGCAAGTTGCAAAGTCTGGGCCTTTGCTCTTGCAGAGGCCTCGTGTAACAACCAAAGTAAATAAACAACCGTTGAGTGGCATTTTGCCGAGTGGTAAGTTGCAAAGTCTGGGGCCTACCTCGCCCTTGCAGAGGCCGTAACAACCAAAGCAACTAAACTGCCATTGAGTGGCATTTTGCCTAGTGGCAAGTTGCAAAGTCTGGGACCACGTTCTTCCAGAGGCCTCGTGTAATAACTAAAGCAAATAAACAACCCTTGAGTGGCATTTTGTCTAGTGGCAAGTTGCAAAGTCTGGGACCTACTTCTTGCAGAGGCCTCATGTAACAACTAAAGCAAATAAACTGCCATTGAGAGGTATTTTGCCTATTGGCAAGTTGCAAAGTCTGCGACCTCGCTCTTGCAGAGGCATTGTGTCGAGTGGCAAGTTGCAAAAACTTCCCGATTTAGGCATTTAATCGCAAATGAACAAAATTTCCAACTCTGAAATATACATCTAAAAAAAAACGATATAAAAAACATATACAATAAGGCATAGTTTTCTTCAAATGAATCAACGGAATATTTTCTATATATATTATGTATGTATTTATAAGAAAATATGTATTGAAATATTTGTATCAGTTGTTTAGTACCCATAACTCAAGCTCTGCCTAGCTTGGAACTATGTAGAGACTTTATATTTTTATTGTTATATTCAGGATTCATGGAACAGTTGGTAGTAGAGTATACGAGCTGGCCGTAGAGAGCAACATTACTACTCTACCACAATATTTCAAAGCAGAGTTGTATGCGTAAGTAATAATATTATTCATCAACAGAGTTTATTCAAATACACTTAATATAAGAACTTTTTAATACTTGATGATAATGTGTGAACGTACATTGTCAAACAGTTGAGAAATATTAAGAAAACAAGCTTATTTTTATATTGCAGATCGGATGGTAGAGATGTGAACAGCACTTTGTTGTTTGAGTTAATTAGCTACGCATATAAAGTAAGTATTTACTTAAATTAAATTAAATTAAAAATATATAGAATACAGAAATTTAGATGGAATCCTGTCCTTCTTTATTTTAAGGCAGGAGCTAGCCTTCAGTCTCTTTATTAGACCATCTGCTGGTTTGGACGGCCCTCTACACTTGCCCACATTTTTGTCCGGTTAAGCAGCTTTAATGAGCAGTAAAAAGCATATAATATATAAATATAGCATATATATATATATATGCTATATTTATATATTATATATACACATATTATAAACATATACTTAATTTAATACATATAAATAAAATGATAATATTTCATTGTACAATTGTCTGTAATTAAAACTTAATATTTATTATTTAATTAATTAATTAATTATATAATAAATTAATATATTAATATTAGTTTTAAATTACATTTTAATATTGTAATGTTTAAACCTCTTCATGATAAATAGATACTGTTAATTATTATAATAAATAAAATTGGAGCGTCTGTTTGTAATATTGAAATTACCGTTTTTTACTACATGTATATGAATATAATACGGTACAAACATCAAAATAACATTTTTTATAATTTTTATCCGTCTGTCTGTTTGTTCCGGCTAATCTCTGAAATGGCTGGACCGATTTTGACGGGAGTTTTTAGCATATAGCTGATGCAATAAGGAGTAACTTAGGCTACTTTTATTTTAGAAGAATAAAGTTAAATTCCACGCGAAGTCGCGTGTACACCTAGTATGTAAATAGAAATAATAACATTTTACAATTATAGATAAGGAAACAGCCGCCCTCGGAGGCTATTCCACTGGGACAGTTCATTACTGACAGGTAATTTATTCACCTACTTTCATGCCAAATGTGTCTGACAGGTCGGGATCGAATGGGCGACCAAAATTTATTTTTAGATTGTGTACAACGACAGTAATATAGGAGTATTGTATACAAAGACGTACTATAGGAGCTGAGTGGACACTACAACAGATGTAAATTTTAAATTTCATTTTGGGAGTGAGTCATCTACGAAATTGCCACTCTTTAAACAGAGTGCATGTGTATTGTTGATTTATCTTATATATAAAATTCTCGTGTCACAGTTTTCGTTCCCATACTCCTCCGAAACGGCTTGACCGATTCTCATGAAATTTTGTGAGCGTATTGAGTAGGTCTGAGAATCGGCCAACATCTATTTTTCATCCCCCTAAATGTTAGGGGTAGTCCACCCCTAAATTTTTTTTTCATTTTTTAGACAAAATTTTTAGTTACTATTTTTTTATGATACAACATACAAAAATACATACAATACTAAATTTTCACCCTTCTATCATTAACCCCTATTTATTTATAGTGTTATTAATTTATATGGCAAAACAACGTTGGCCGGGACAGCTTGTTATATGTAAATTTATATATATGCATGTGCATTTATAAATAAATAAATAATAGACACATTAGTATGTATATATCCCAAGGATGTTAGGGAGCTCCGTATCCGTAACCGAAACTATCGGATATCCGAAATAAAAAATATTCGTAACCGAATCCGAAATAAAAGTTTCGGATAATATCGGATAGGGGCGGAGACTAATTGAGACACGTTATGTAACCGTTTTATTAGCTATTTGTATTTTACTTTTGAAATTCCTTAAAAAATTAATATCCGTATCTAACCGAAATTATCCGAAACTCGAAATCCGAAATAATTTCATATCCGTATCCGGTATAATCTTTCCTATATCCGAAACCTATCCGTATCCAAAATTTCATATCCATAATATCCCTAGTATAATATACGTAAATTTAAAAAATCTGTCGTGGAAACGTCTTTAAGCTTTAAGAGTAATATGTTAAAATAAAAGTTTCCGATTAAACAAATCGGTATCGCAGGTACACCACTACCCCTCAATAAATGGTAACATTATTTGAAAATAGATATTTGGACATATATAGTTTCCGGGATTAGAATAGAATAGAAATAATCTTTATTCAAATAAACTTAATATAAGCACTTTTGAATAGTCAATTTTTTTTATTCTACCGCTTATTCGGAATGCAGATTCATTACAAGCAGAATAAGCAAGAAACTTGTGTGTTGCTCTTTTAAATAAATATTGATTTGCTTATATTTAATTAACAACAAGGATTAGGCATACGACAATCAACATAGAAACCGCTACGCACTTAATCTCCGTTCAATCAGATAACATTGTCAGCGCTATGAACTTTAAGTTAGATCTCGACACGCGGTAGCGTATCAAGCCGAGTTTCAAGTAAAGAGAACTGGCGAGCAGCACCGTGTGTATATTTACACGAACCATTCTGAGCCACTTTTGACCCCCTAATAACTCAAAAACTCTTTCACATAAACCTGTCAAATTACAATATAAAATATAATTTCTTCTTATAACTTAGGATAATATACTGTAGCCTAAGGTCTAACTTGGCTAGTTTTCATATACGAAATATACTGTAGCCTTCGCAAGTTCTAAACATGTTACTTGTCGGTTCCTATTTTATTATTAGTAGTAACTAGCCATCGAAAGTAATAATTGGTATATGAGAACTAGCCAAGTCAGACCTTAGGCTACAGTATATTATCCTAAGTTATAAGAAGAAATGATATTTTATATTGTTATAAATACATTTCAAGACAGACCATTGAACTTGGCACCCATTTAGATCTCACCTCTTTTGTCGTAGAAATCAACAATCAAGGCATATATCATAATATTAAACTCGGCTATCATTTCACATTTATATTTTTGTTGATGGGATATTTTCTACAAAAACATTATTATCGTTTGTAAATTCTTCAATTTTATAATAAGCTTTAATAAGATTAAAATACAGACTATAGTTATAATGATTCTTTATATTATTTACAGAGTGCTGGAATATTTAAAAGAAACCCATCCGTCTGTGGCCTCTGACGGAGAGTTTCTCAACCAATACCTCCACTTTATGGAAACGCTGGTGAATCCTTACGAAGGTACCACGAGTTGGTACGAGATCACAACAGATCGCAGGTTCAAAGAGTTAGACGGCTATTATTACACAAGTTGGAACAAGTTCGGATATAGGACGTTTATCCACATTTTATTGGTGAGTGGATTTTACTAAGCGTAGTGTTCACTTATTTGTTATTTACTGGCTACTCGCCCCAGCTTCAAACGGGTGTCATGTATCTAAATATATATAACTCAAAGGTGACTGACATAGTGATCTATCAACGCACAGCCAAAACCACTGGACGGATCGGGCTGAAATCTAAATATATATAACTCAAAGGTGACTGACATAGTGATCTATCAACGCACAGCCAAAACCACTGGACGGATCGGGCTGAAATCTAAATATATATAACTCAAAGGTGACTGACATAGTGATCTATCAACGCACAGCCAAAACCACTGGACGGATCGGGCTGAAATCTAAATATATATAACTCAAAGGTGACTGACATAGTGATCTATCAACGCACAGCCAAAACCACTGGACGGATCGGGCTGAAATCTAAATATATATAACTCAAAGGTCACTGACATAGTGATCTATCAACGCACAGCCCAAACCACTGGACGGATCGGGCTGAAATCTAAATATATATAACTCAAAGGTGACTGACATAGAGATCTATCAACGCACAGCCCAAACCACTGGACGGATCGGGCTGAAATCTAAATATATATAACTCAAAGGTCACTGACATAGTGATCTATCAACGCACAGCCCAAACCACTGGACGGATCGGGCTGAAATCTAAATATATATAACTCAAAGGTCACTGACATAGTGATCTATCAACGCACAGCCCAAACCACTGGACGGATCGGGCTGAAATCTAAATATATATAACTCAAAGGTGACTGACATAGTGATCTATCAACGCACAGCCCAAACCACTGGACGGATCGGGCTGAAATTTGGCATGCAGGTAGATGTATGACGTAGGCATCCGCTAAGAAAGGATTTTGATTAATTCTACCCCCAAGGGGATAAAATAGGGGATGAAAGTTTGTATGAAACTTTGTCAATTTTAAACCGATCGGGCTGAGACTTTGCATGCATAAAGCTACTATGACGTAGGCATCCGCTAAGAAAGGATTTTGATAAATTCCACCCCTAAGGGGATAAATTGACGCGAGCGAAGCCGCGGACAAAAGCTAGTTATATAGATATAAGAACCTCTTGAATCACTCTATTTATTAAAAAAAAAAACGCTACAAAATCCGTAGCGTAGTTTTAAAGATTTAAGCATACATAGGGACAGACAGACGTGCCTACACTTGTAATATTTCTGTCGACACTTGACACCCTTCCATTAGTTTACGTCTCCACTAACATAGATTTAAGTTAAGTGTAAAATCAGTCTACGTCCCGACTCCGCGTCGACTGTACGCGTTATTAATAAGCCATGTAGCACACTACCAATAAACTTAATAATGTACAATAAATAGTGCAATCATTTTACCAGTATACTCACTACCTACATACTACAATAAATAATATATTAGACGACCTCGGTGGTCTAGCGGTCTAGCACACCACTTTAAGTCCGATGATCGCGGGTTCGATTCCTCGCACGGCACAAACATTTCTATTTATGAGTATGATTGTTTGTATCGGTCTCGGTGTTTTCTATGTATAATATGTATGTATTTACGAAAAAAAAAATTAGTTAACTAGTACTAATAACAAGCTTTAGCTAGCTTAACTTAGGTCTAGATGGCGCTGTGTGAATTGTCCTGAGATTATTATTATTATTATATAGCGCCACCTCATCACAACATATATAACGCTACAGTGATGAGAATAACCACCGTGAACCAGAACAATGTCCGGTATTTTGAGGAAAGTCGGAACTCGGTGTTCAAAAGCTTCAATTGGTTGGACCCTGAACGCGGTCTACCAACTCTTTTTTTTTTCTTGGGGAAATCCGAAGACCCGCCCGTTCAAGGGGTAACGAGCGGATACTGCCAGACTCCTACTGTCTTAAACCCCAAGGTGTACCTCTACCGCTTGTAGCCGGAACTCCGGGTGTGGGCGAGTATTCTTCCGCTGCTCCGACGGCGGGGACCGATTTCAATAGACGGGTCTATACTCGTCTTCAGGAGAAGTAGCTCGGGTACACGCGCGCACCTTCTCAAGGCTGCGATGTTGACGGGGAAGCAGCTGCTGACCCTGACCCTTACGTAGGGAGGGATACAACATTCCATCCGTCTAGCTCGTCTCCGATGTATTTGGTCGGCAGATTTAGCAGGTCTACCAACTCTGGGCCAACTAATTTGTGGACTCTAACGAGAAGCAACGATACTCCACCAGAAGAACTCTACTCAGAGTTGGCTATACTTAGCATTGTTCACCAGTCCTTGAAGCGAAAGTCAGTGGATATGTGGCTGTTGGGTAAAAAAGGGAAACTAAGGACCAACCTGGTTCGTGGCGTCCCCGCGTGTCTACCAACTCTGGGCAATTAAATTGTGGACTCTAACGAGAAGCAACGATACTCCGCCAGAAGAACTCTGCTCAGAGTTGGCTATACTTAGCATTGTTCACCAGTCCTTGAAGGGAAAGTCAGTGGATATGTGGCTGTTGGGTAAAAAAGGGAAACTAAGGACCAACCTGGTTCGTGTAGTCCCCACGTGTCTACCAACTCTGGGCAATTAAATTGTGGACTCTAACGAGAAGCAACGATACTCCGCCAGAAGAACTCTACTCAGAGTTGGCTATACTTAGCATTGTTCACCAGTCCTTGAAGGGAAAGTCAGTGGATATGTGGCTGTTGGGTAAAAAAGGGAAACTAAGGACCAACCTGGTTCGTGTCGTCGCGTAGCCGTTTCACTTTAAAAACGCACAACACTACGATGAATTTCACTGGATGATGTACTAATCAGATGATTGCGCAGAGATCGCGGCTGATGGTTCCGTTAACGTTGATTCGCGGAGAATATGTTGATTTGCGTGTGCTCGACGCGACGTACAACGAACGACTCATTTTGTTGATGCTACCCCCAGATTTGGTGGATAAAAATAGGAGTAGGATTTAGGGTAGTAACATATTGAAATTTGGCTAGACATAAGTAGATTTATATCAACCAGTGGCGCAGTTTTTTTAGTAAAGAATCAGTGCCAAATCTTATTGAAATATATAAATGAATACGAATACTTTGAGTGAAGCGATCAGTGAAACAGAATACCAATGCAATGACAGCCTCGGTAGTCTAGTGGTTTAGCACACCGATTTACTATCCGATGGTCGTGGGTTCGATTCCTCGCACGCTACAAACATTTGTATTCATGAGTATGATTGTTTGTATCGATCTGGGTGTTTTCTATGTATAATATGTATTTATTTACAAAAAATAATGTATCCATGTATTTATATCAGTTGTCTAGTACCCATAACTTGGGACTAGATGGCGCTGTGTGAATTGTCCTGAGATATTATTATTATTAATGCTGACATTACAGATTACTCTTTTTTACTGTTTACATTTGGTTATTGCCAGTGTCCTAGTGGTATTGCTACACTCGATATTCTTAGTACTTACTACACTAAATGAATCTCCTATAAAATGTCTGCCATTTTCAGAATATATACAATAACGGCCCGGGTCTACCCACACTAGATATAAAGTTAAACACGGAGGTGACGGCAGTGTCCTGGTCGCAGGATCTCACCCGGGGAGTGACGGTGACGACCAAGGATGGTACCACCTACACGGCTGACAACGTTATTGTTACCGTCTCACTCGGAGTACTCAAAGAACGGTACTATATTAGTTTACATTATAGTCTTATCCCCCGCCCAATTCAAACGGGGATCGATATTACGGCCTGAGCCGAGGTTCGACCCCTAGCGATGCCCTCAGACTAGTCGTATCAGTTAAGCAGGAGTTGAATTCCTTCAGCCGTTCCATAAGTCCGTCCTTTGGTTTGAAGTGTCATCTGCACTCACCTACTATTGTCCGGAGAAGCTGTAAAGGCCAGCTGCGGCCAACAGCATTAGAGTAGTAGGAAAAAAAATTGTCTTACTAATCTATTACTAATATTATAAAAGCAAAAGTTTGTGAGTATGAATGGAAAGATGGATGGATGTTTGTTACTCTGTCACACAAAAACTACTGAACGGATTTTGATACAGCTTTACAGTAATATAGATTTTACATAAGAATAACACATAGGTAATAATATAATATTTTCTATGTACATTGCGTTGCGGTAACAGCTTAATGGCGAAATGACGCCAGCAGTGTATGACAGAGACGACATAATGCTTCCTTCTCTTTCCCACATATGTAGCATATAAGTATAAACGATTGTATTCATATATATGACTGATTGTATTTTACCGGGTATTTTCTATGTACATTGCGTTGCGGTAACAGCTTAATGGCGAAATGACGCCAGCAGTGTATGACAGAGACGACATAATGCTTCCTTCTCTTTCCCACATATGTAGTATATAAGTATAAACGATTGTATTCATATATATGACTGATTGTATTTTACCGGGTATTTTCTATGTACATTGCGTTGCGGTAATAGCTTAATGGCGAAATGACGCCAGCAGTGTATGACAGAGACGACACAATGCTTCCTTCTCTTTCCCACATATGTAGTATATAAGTACAGACAAATGTATTCAAATATGACTGTTTGTATTTTACCGGGTATTTTCTATGTACATTGCGTTGCGGTAACAGCTTAATGGCGAAATGACGCCAGCAGTGTATGACAGAGACGACACAATGCTTCCTTCTCTTTTCCACAAATGTAGTATATAAGTACAGACAAATGTATTCATAAATATGACTGTTTGTATTGGTCTGGGTCTTCTATGTATATTATATATTACATAAATATATATATTTAAGTACATCAGTCGTCTTCTACCCATAAAACAAGTTCTTGGGACTAGATGGCGTTGTGTGAATTGTCCAGAGATATATTATCTTACTAATATTATAAATGCGAAAGTTTCTCTATTTGGATGGATGTCTGTTTGTTATTATTTCACGCAAAAACTACTGAATTTGTATAAAAATGTCTTTCGTTATTTTTTGTTTATTTTTATTTGTAATTATTCCAGTTATGAAACTCTATTCTCGCCACAGTTGAGTGAAGCCAAGAAAACGGCTATAGAAAAACTGTCAATGGGGGTAGTTGGTAAAGTTATTTTATTATACAAAGAGCAATGGTGGCCTAGCACCAGTATTGGCTTAATCTGGAGTCGTGATGATGAGAGAAAATTGTCTGATGATGATCGCTGGTTGTACAATGTGACGAATGTCTCCCAATCCATGGGGAACCCGCACGCTTTGGTGTTTTGGAGTTCTGGAAATACTGCAAGATTGGTTAGTATATTTTTAATAACTCATCCGTCATACTCGTGAACGCGTGCTGCTTGTGGGGACTGGTCTGTTTGGGTTGCGAATACTGATTAGATTGCTTTTGAAATAGCATATGCTGGTGGTCACTCTATTATCCCAAGTTTGAATTCAAAATAGAAATAGAAATAATCTTTATTCAAATAAACTCATTACAAGCACTTTTGAATAGTCATATTTTGATTCTACCACTCATTCGGAATGCAGATTCATCACAAGAAGAATGAGCAAGAAACTTGTGTGTTGCTCTTTTTAATAGATGTTTTTTTATACAAATAATTACAGTATAACAAGTAAGAAGCATGCGACAATCAACATAGAAGTCGCTACGTACTCAATATTAATGTAATCAGATAATATTGTCGGTGCTATGGATTTAAAGGTTTTCTATAAAAACATTATTATCGTTAACGAATTCTTCAATTTTATAGTAAGCTTTTTTGCAAAGGAAGTGTTTTATTTGACATTTAAATCTTTTGTCTGGCAGATTTATAACAGACTCTGGTATTTTATTGTAAAACCTTACGCAATTGCCATAAAACGAATTACTAACTTTAGCCAAACGACATTTAGGTAAAATCAGTTTGTTATTGTTACGTAAGCTTTTATTGGTGCAATCACTAACTCTTTCGAAACTGTCTATATTCTTCCTTTTATCATCTAGATATTTTCATACAAAAGTGTAGGCACAGATGAAATGAAATCTGTTATTTTGCAGGTAGAGACATTGTCTGATGAAGTGGTAAAGAGGAAATATCATGAACTGCTGCAAAGGTTCATAGCTCCCCACATCAACAGGACCGTCCCAGAACCTATTGCTATGTTGAGGTCTGTTCTTCCTTATTTCGTTTTCTTTCAAAGTACAATATACTAACTTTTCATCTATACATATAAATAAAATTGGAGTGTCTGTTTGTAATATTGATATAACCGTATGTTCAAAATCTACCCTGTATCATCGTAAGCACAGATTATTATATTAGAGTCCGTTAGTTTTCTGTTCCCGCGCTTTCACTTCCCCTCCCTTAACTAGTACTGAACTGACCGTACAGCGGCCTTGACGCGCGCGCGCATTGTGTTGTGAATTAAAATAAATTAGAACTGTGTTAAACCTACTGTGAAACTGGAAAGCTAGCGAAGATACCTTCGAGACCCTGAAGCCCAAGAAATCCGCAGAACCATACAGGTACGTGACAGACGTTTCCACACATATTTTTCCCTATATATATACATAGTAAATTCCCTAACATTTTGGTAGCAGAGAGTATTTTCCCTAACACCGTATTTTACTGCATGTTTATGAATATAAATACGGAACATACACAAAAAAAAACACTTTTTAAAATTTTTGTCTGTCTGTCTGTCGTTCTGTTTGTTCTGGCTAATCTCTGAAACGGCTGAACCGATTTTAACGGGACTTTTTTTGGCAGGTAGCTGATATAATAGGGAGTAAATTAGGCTACTTTTATTTTAGAAAAAATCTTTTATTTTATAGAAAAATAAAGTATAATTCCTCGCGGACAAAGTCGCGGGTACAGCTAGTGTATAATATAAAAAGTGGGTGTTAAAAATCTTAATCTTAATAGTATTAGCACAGATAATGTAATAATTATTATGTTATCTGTGGTATTACTATGAAAGTTTGTGTGTATGGATGTTTGTTACTCTTTCACGCAAAAACTACTGAACGGATTTTGTTGAAACTTTACAGTAATATAGCTTATGCAGCAAAATAACTATTTTTTACTAGCTGTTACCGCGACTTCGTCCGCGTGGAATTTAACTTTACTTTTCTAAATTAAAAGTAGCCTAAGTTACTCCTTATTACATCAGCTACCTGCCAATAATAGTCCCGTCAAAATCGGTCCAGCCATTTCAGAGGTTAGCCGGAACAAACAGACCGACAGACAGACAGACAACCCAAAATTGTAAAAAAAAATATTTTGGTGTAGGTACCGTATTTATATTCATATGCATGTATTTACTACATGCATATAAATATAAAAACGGTTATTTCAAAATTACAAACAGACACTCCAATTTTATTATATGTATAGATGTTGTTATGTAAATAATAAGAAGTATAATAAATAAATGAATTTCTTTGCAGAACACATTGGGCCAGTAATCCATTCACACGAGGCACATACTCGTACGACAATCTCCTGACTCCCCAGTACCCCACGGCCAGGTCGGACCTGGCTGAACCGCTGACGGACTCCTCCGGAAACCCAAGAGTCCTGTTTGCTGGAGAGGCCACCAACCCTACTCACTACTCGACCGTGCACGGCGCTAGTGAAACGGGGTACAGGGAGGCGGCAAGGCTTTTAGAAAATAAACAAAGTATATAATAAGTTTTAACTGTAAGTTTTAACTTTAATAATGGGTTTTAGTTTTTTAGTATCATTTATTGTTTTCAAATTCAAAATTTAAAATATCTTTATTCATGTAGGTCTATTACAGACTCTTATGATATGTCAAATCTACCGTCAGTTCGGAATGATTTCGAGATGAGAAGAACTGACAAGAAACTCAGCTCGTATTCTTATCAAATAAATGTTGTACATGTTTACAATAATACAGTTTCGTTTTTAAATTCAAATTCAAAATATCTTTATTCATGTAGGTCTATTACAGATTCTTATGATATGTCAAATCTACCGGCAGTTCGGAGTGATTTCTAGCTGAGAACTGACTAGAAACTCAGCTCGTATTCTTTTCAAATAAATGTTGTACATGTTTACAATAATACAGATTCATTTTTACATTCAAATTCAAAATATCTTTATTCATGTAGGTCTATTACAGATTCTTATGATATGTCAAATCTACCGTCAGTTCGGAGTGATTTCTAGCTGAGAACTGACTAGAAACTCAGCTCGTATTCTTATCAAATAAACGTTGTACATGTTTACAATAATACAGATTCATTTTTAAATTCAAATTCAAAATATCTTTATTCATGTAGGTCTATTACAGATTCTTATGATATGATATGACGGTATATTTGATATACCGTCAGTTCGGAATGATTTCTAGTATGTATTATGTAGGTACGAGTATATTTATCAAACCGTACATAGATATTTTTGAAGAGTTAATTATTGATCGTCATATTTATATTATTATTATTATTAATCCACATTACCTGCATTTTGTCCGCGAGGAAATTAAATTTATTTTTCTAAAATAAAAGTAGCCTAAGTTACTCCTTATTACATCAGCTACCTGCCAAAAAAAGTCCCGTCAAAATAGGTCCAGCCATTTCAAGACGAAGAAGTTATTTCAATATTACAAAATTATACTTATAGGACCAATATTACGGCTGGCAACGGCAGTGAAATAGGGTAATATAAATAAAATTACTTACCAAAATTATAGATGTATTTAGTGGTAGCGTATATGACACAATGTAGCAAAACAATATAATAAAAAATATATGTCAAAAATTGTATATAAAAATATATGGTTTAAAAATAGAAATATCTATAAAAAGAGGTCTGTCGCCAACATGGCACGCCCCGGTGCAGAGCACCAATCTACAGTGGCGACTGTGCACAGTTTTCTTGGGTGCCCTGCTCTAGGAGTAAGGGCAACACTTTGCGCACTGGTCTTTTCAAGATACCCATGCTTCCCCGGATCTCCACCACCCTGACCACTCCGTCAGGACCGGTGAATATCTTAGAAATACGGCCTTTGGGCCATGTATAGATGTATAGACTATCAGACCCGGCCACGAGTTGCTGTGGCTAAGGTTCTTGAATAAAATAACATTGCGACTATAAATTGAGATGTAAGCTATCCTATCTTTCAAGTTGGATCAAATTGCACACAATGTGCAAATCAAATTCGCAATCGGTTCAGTAGTTTAGGAGTTCATCGCGGACGAACAACGTGACACGTAAATTTTATATATAAAGATAAAGTTATTATTTTCGTACTGTTATATGTTTAAAAAGACTTATTGTCTAAATAAAGCTAAACAATATGTTACTGTACACTTAGATATATATTGTATTAATTTTATTATACATAAATAATATGAGTAAAGAAAATAAAAAAAAAAAGAATGGATTTTTATTATAACCAGCATGTTCACAAGGAACACACTATAAAGCTGATTGGAGCCATTTTAATGCCTATATGTGTGTAAAGCAAGGTGGACCGACGATCTGGTCAAGATCGCTGGAAGGCATTGGATGCGAGCAGCGCAGGACCGATCGTCGTGGAGATCTTTGGGGGAGGCCTATGTCCAGCAGTGGACGTCTTCTGGGCTGCGATGATGATGATGATGATGATGATGTGTGTAAAATATATATATATATTTGTTTATCTTTAATTATCTATAATATATGTTTAATTAACCTTAATTATATTATGTAATATTATATTATCTGTGATTATATATACATTTTGTTTTTTTTTATTTCGTTTATAATGTAACTAAAAGATATATTTATATCAGTTGTCTAGTACCCATAACACAAGCTTTGGCTAGCTTAACTTGGGTCTAGATGGCGCTGTGTGAATTGTCCTGAGATTATTATTATTATCAGTTATCTAGTATCCATAACACAAGATTTAGATAACTTAACTTGGGTGTAGATGGCGCTGTGTGAATTGTCCTGAGATTATTATTATTATCAGTTATCTAGTACCCATAACACAAGATTTAGATAACTTAACTTGGGTCTAGATGGCGCTGTGTGAATTGTCCTGAGATTATTATTATTATACATGTATTATCAATAAATATGAATAGTTTTTATGTATTTTTTCCTATACTTTCTATCGTATCTCAATCGAGTTTTACGTAAGCACTATTTCTTTGCTTTGCGTATTTTGGATGACATGGGGGGTGGGGGAGTCCAGATGATGATTACGTCATCGACAGTTATTTACTTTTTTACACGAATGGCAACCCTCACATTGCCTTTGCTAAAAAAACAATTAATTGAAAAATGGTTACGTAATCTTGGGGGGAGGGGGTAAGAGCTTTGCTTTTGCTGACAAGGGGATGGGGGTAAATAATTGTAATAAATCTGCTTACGTAATACTCGAACGGGAAAAATCCCTCCGATCGATCCCCCGTCCAATTCAAACGGGGATCTAAATTACGACGGCCTGAGCCGAGGTTCGAACCCCTAGTGGTGCCTTCAGACTAAAGTCGTATCCGTCAGGCAGGAGTTGGCCTTCAGCCGCTCCATAAGTACATAAGTACTTCCTTTAGTTTGGAGTGCCGTCTGCACTTGCCCCTAACGTCCGGTGAAGCTGTAAAGGCCAGCTGCGGCCAACAGCACTAGAGTAATACGAAAACACCGACTGAATGTGCATATTAAATTTCATAAAAATCGTCTCGTTTCATAAAAGTCTAGCCATTTCGGAGGAGTATGGTAACTAACATTGTGACACGAGAATTTTATATACAAAATATTTATTAAATAAATATAAATATTATTCTTATAAAAAAAAAACCATGAAAATAAAGAAAATTGTTTATTTCGTACATAACCATATAAATGAAGAGTGTACTACGGCATTTTTTACATTAATATTTCTTTCTTTTTATTTAGAATATCGTAATAGCATAATTCGCCAGATATTAGAGTACCATCCTAATCACCTGGATGAATGGCGGTCCTCCACAGTGCGTTATTCCAGAAACTTTACCAACCACATTGTGGAATCACCTTCCAGCAATGGTATTTCCGAATACGATATTGAAACCTTCAAGAAAAGAGCTTATTCCTTCCTAAAAGGCCGACAACAATTCCCCTGGTGGTGCGGGTGCACATGGGCGGCGGTAATCATTTAAAAGAACGGTCACTCGCCCGCAATTTCACTCCAAAACGGGCTCATGGACTTGATGCGCAAAACTATCTATCCTCTATGCTATAAAAAAATATTTAATTGGTTCAGTAAAAGAAAGAAAGCAAAAACTGTTATTGTCAAAGATTATATTGCTGCACACACATTCACATAAACAAATATCTTTTTCACAGTTTCACTCGTATGAAACTCAATAGAAAAAAAAAATAATAAAAAAAAAAAAAAAAATAGAAGGGAGGGCATAGCTTGATACATTTCGATACGTCTTGCTCGACTTGGGACGGCCCGAACTGGCGTAGTACTTCCACCAAGCGGAAAACCACAGCCAAACAGTGCTGTACTTGCACCATACAACAGCACTGTGTTCCTGTGGTGAGTAAGGTGACCAGAGCCCAATGGGAATTGGTAGTGCTGGTATTGGAGGACCTGTGTGTTCAACAGTGCCGCGGGATTGCATAGGCGCGACGTGGTGGCGCAGCGTTCAGGGAGAACCGGTGAAACGGTTAACGGCTGGCCACCCGCAGGTTGTTGGGTTCCCGAACCCAGGGATTACTTAATCTCCGCCCTAGGAGGCTGAACCGCCGCCTGCGCATAATCCCTGGTGTAGTAGTCGTGCCGGAGAAGGAGACCGGAGTGGACCCGGCTGCTGCACCAGTGGGGGTACCGGGGGCCCTTCCGGCCGCTGTGCCACCAAATTGCCAAACCTGTCCAATACTGTCCAAACCTGTACAATAATATGCGTTGATACATCTTTTGTCCTTTCTAATACCAGCGCGATCATTCCCCTTCAACCTTAAAAAAATTAATACCCAAAAGGCCAGAAAAAGAAAAGGAATCGCAGTAAATCAGCGGCACCCCTATCCACTATTAATATGGATTACTGTAACATCAGGGGACTACACGGAAACATCAATGCGGTCCACCATCATCTCGAGACCGCCAAGCCGACCCTTCTGTTCCTTACGGAGACACAGATATCCGTCTGATACTTCGTACCTTACGTATTCCGGGTGTACGCTTGAGCACAAATTTGTGCGTCGAGCTGGGGTATGTTTGTATGTCCGGGAGGATATCTGCTGTCGCCGCCTTCTTGACCTAGAAAAAAAAGACCTGTCAGTACACTGCCCATAGTACGCGTTGATCAGGGTGAGTACACCGGTATCTACGCGTGCCTATACAGGTCTCATAGCGGTGACGAGGACACGTCTCGTCTGTTTGAGCACCTTCAATTCACGTTAAGTTCTTGAGCAATATACCTCCGCGATTTTTGTTAAGATAAACAAACTGGGGTTCTAGAGTCTCGAAAACTATGACTCTAGCGCCGCTGGAGACCCATAAGATCCATAAGGGTCGGTTTATAAGTGCCTGCAAATTCAAGTTTAAATTCAAAATATCTTTATTCATGTAGGTCTATTAAAGACTAATTTTCTCAAATCAAAATCCACTCTATATCTTCATAATATTATTATATATATATAGCTTCACTGACCTTCAGATTAAATTACATAAGGTCAGCCGTAGGTTATCCCTCGGTAACAAATAAATATAATTCAATTAGTGTGATACGGAGCACAATGGAGAATAGAGTGTTATTTTGTTTAATATTATATGTTTTTTTAGCATGTGTCAGAGCTGCTAGTGTTGGAGACAGGTGAGTTTTTTTAAGTAGATACATAGATCACTGGAGAAAAATGATTAAAAATGAAAAGGGACTAAAAATTAACGTGTAACATGTATTATTTGGAAAGAATACGAGCTGAGTTTCTTGTCAGTTCTTCTCATCTGGAAATCATTCCGAACTGACGGTAGATTTGACATATCATAAGAGTCTGTAATAGACCTACATGAATAAAGATTTTGTTTTTTTAAATTAATGAAGATCTGAAGATCTCATTACTGGTTTTAATGGAGCTTCCTCCTGCATACACCTATATTGTGGAATGAACTACCTGCCGAGGTTTTCTATAGAGACTACAGCATGGGGTTTCAAGAAGGGTATATTAAGGTTTCTTAAGGGTCAGCAACGCGTGGTGTTTCGGCCATAGGCTACGGTGACAATTTACCTTCAAATGGGTCGTATGCTTGTTTAACATATATGTCTAACATTAAATGAAAATCCCATACATGAACAACTATTGCCATGCACGCTCGTTATTCAAGTAATCGTTTAGTGAGTAATAGACTTTGATCAGTAAATATATATAAGTCCATTAAGTAAATATTAATAACTTTTATTGGTAGTTCCAAAGATTATGACACAATTGTCGTCGGACTTGGGGCAGCGGGTACTGCTGCGTCTTCGACCCTCGCACGAGCTGGTCGAAGAGTGCTAGCGCTGGAGGCCCAGGATCGAGTGGGGGGACGAGTGCACACGGTGCCTTTGGGTGATGGAGTAGTAGAATTGGGTGCTGAATGGTAAGACGAGTTAAATATCTAGTTTAGTTTTATTGTATCTCTTAGTACGAACACTGTGCGAATACTGTAACTACCATATAATAAATTTAAATAAGTAGCTATGACGAGGTCGAGTGGAATGAGTAGTCATGCTCACTAAAATGTCCAGACATGAAGCGGCGTGGTGGGCCGGGTCAAGGGGCTCCCTAAAATATGGTCGAGCGCAGTGATGGCTGGCTCATCCGTCATACTCGTGAACGAGTGCTGCTTGTAGGGACTGGTCTGCTCTTATCACTACGACTGATTTAATCTTATTGTTTTTATATTTGAGCCTAAATGAATTAGTGCTGGTTGGTAGTTTGTATTCACACGTATTGACTTGTAAAATGAACTTACAATGATTGTTTAAAAGAGAAACACACAAGTTTCTTGCTTATTCTTCTTGTGATGAGACAGCTTTCCGAATAAGCGGTAGATTTAAAAAAAAATTTTGACTATTCAAAAGTGCTTAAATTAAGTTTATTTGAATAAATGATTTTCTATTCTAAGTACATCAACCTAGCGTACAGCTATGGCACGCTCGTGATCCTACTGCGGCTGCGCGCCTATATTCTATATTCTGTATCTGTAGCGCATTGAATTGCGCGGGAAAAATAACTAACGACAAAATGGTTTCTTCTGTATACACACTGATTTACTGTTGTACTCCTGATTCCTAATTATTTTATACTATTCTACATAGCTTTATATGTCTGCAATTTACTTTTATTTAATACTAGCTGTACCCTCGTCTTCGTCTGCGTGGAATTTAACTTTATATTTATAAAATAAAAGTAGCCTAAGTTACTCCTTATTAAGCTACCTGTTAAAAAAAATCCCGTTAAAGTCCGTCCAGGCATTTCAGAGATTAACCGGAACAAACTGACTTTGGTGTATGTACCGTATTTATACTCATATGCATGTAGTAAAAAACGGTTATTTCAATATTACAAACAGACACTCCAATTTTATTTATATGTATAGATCAAATATTGCATTATTTTCTATTGCCTTAGCTTTAATTAATTATAATTATATCATAAAATATTATCTGATTGCACTAAGAACGAGTGCGTAGCGGTTTCTATGTTGATTATCGCATGCCTCTTGTTATTGTGTAATAATTTATTTAAAATAACATTTATTCAAAAGAGCGACACACAAGTTTCTCGCTCATTCTTCTTGTGATGAGTCTGCGTTCCGAATCAAAATATTACCACAGATAACATAATATATATTACATATAATTACATAGTATAAAACAAAGTCGCTGTCGCTGTCTGTCCCTATGTATGCTTAAATCTTTAAAACTACGCAACGGATTTTGAAGCGGTTATTTTTAATACATAGAGTGATTCTAGAGGAAGGTTTATATATATAATACATGTACACCCGTGCGAAGCCGGGGCGAGTAGCTGGTTATGTATATATTTAGAAAGAAATGTATCAAGGTTTCTTTTCTATCAGTTGCCTGAAACCTATAACACAAAACACAAGCTCTACTTATTTCAAACGAGAATTGTTAATCATATCTTCATATAAATAAGGTTTTTTTTAGTTTGACAGTTTTTATCAATTGTAATCTTCTCTAATATATTTTGACTATTAGAATAGAATAGAATAGAAAATCATTTATTCAAAAAAAACTTAATTTAAGCACTTTTGAATAGTCTATGGGACACAGTCACCTAGATACATCAAAATAATAATTGCATTCAATAATGTCTAGTAAGACAAATTCAATATTGTCTACTAAGCACTGCCGTGTCTAAACTGTGTCACCCCACCTTACATTTTCCTATTGTTATTTAGTATATAAGATCATTATTTCTATGTACATATTGTCAGTTTATTATCATCTGTAATATACATCGTCTCACAGTTTCACTCACCCGCAACATAGTCATAACAATTTTTTTTATCTACCATTCGTTCGGAAAGCTGTCTCATTACAAGACGATTCAAAAGTGCTTGTATTGAGTTTACTTGAATAAAGATTATTTCTATTTCTATTATATTGTGTGTCCAATACATGATTTAAGTAAGGTTCTGAACTTTCAGAACAACATCACTTATATTGTGTGTGATTCTATATGGTGTGATAAATTTAATTTAATAATAGATATTTTAAAGTATAAAATTGCAGTTCTCATTTTTAAATTCAAATTTGGGAGAATAGAGTGACCACCAGCATATGCTAATGCAAAAAACAAAAAGTCTAATCTTGCAGAACAACATCACTATATTGACAGCTCAAGATTCATCGTCCCCACCAGACCTCCACGCTGCTCCCCCTGGAAACATTCGATTCTGGTAAATATGTCACGATAAGTGTGTTCATCTTAAATTTTAACGCAGTTTAATAACATCCAGATATTTTAAATGTGGAGTATAAAATTACAGTCAGGTCTCATTTTTAAATTCATAAATTGTTGGAGAATTTGTCACGAGAATACCTGACCTCATGTTCGTCTTATTATTCTCCACTGGTGCCCCGCCAGCGTAAACCGTTAGCGTAGACGGGTGCAGCGATCCATTAAAAGCCCACCACGCCGCCACAAGTTTGAAGTTTATAGCGAGCAAGACTGTTTCGTCACTTTTTCATTCACCATCATTTGTACATTTAACACTGATTAAACTATTTTTGTATTTGCTTTCAAAAAATTGCAATATCATATGCTGGTGGTCACTTTATTCTCCCAAATTTGAATTTATGAATCTGTATTATTGTAAACATGTACAACATTTATGTATTTTACTTTTGTTTTAGATTATACAATTTGTTATTTGAATTTTATTTAGTATCTAGCGTTTGAAATCTTTTTGTTTGGACCAGTTATTACCCACTCAGTACCACATATCCCACTGTTTTAGGTTGACTGGAAGAGATCTCTTCTAGGGATAAGTCCACCTTTGCTCACATTGTCTCTAAATTATAATATCTTTCTATTATCTGTGCAATAAAGAATATATTTACATTTTCAAATAATGAAAAGAATACGAGCTTAGTCCATTGTCAGTTCGTCTCATCTCGAAATCATTCCGAACCGACGGTAGATTTGATATATCATAAGAGTCTGTGATAGACGTACATGAATTTGAATTTGAATGATAGTGAAACTGACAGTTAAACGGCCCGACTCGTGAATCGATCCTCACCATTATTGCTCCATAATAACGCAAGACTGCACGATAAACTAAATAATGTAACTGTAGAGTTGCAAAGGACAGTTAGAACTTATTAATATTACGCCGTACTCGCCAGACCTTGCTCCACGGACGGACGGTAAAACGGACTACCATTTTTTCTTGATTTGGACAATTTTTTACGCAATAAAAACATTTCTTCCCAGGTGGCAGACCAAAACGTTTTCTGTTAAGAATGATAGCACTAGTATAAAGTCTATGACTATGTTCCTAAGTCTAACTTCTATGTTTAGGCTGTCACTAAAATCACAAGCTTTAGCTAGCCTAACTTGGGTCTAGATGGCACTCTGTGACTTGTCCTGAGATTGACGACGGTGGTCAGCGGTCTAGCACACCGCTTTCACGTCCAATGGTCGCATCGATTCCTCGCACGGCATAAACATTTGTATTCATGTGTATGATTGTTTGTATCGGTCTAGGTGTTTTCTATGTATATTATGTATGTATTTATGAAAAAAAATATCTATGTATTTGTATCAGTTATCTAGTACCCATAACACACGCTTTAGCTAGCTTAACTTGGGTCTAAATGGCGCTGTGTGAATTGTCCTGAGATTATTATATATATTATTATTATAATTATAACTAAATCATTTTTACAGATCCATAGGTAGGGAGGAAGACAAAGCGTTGATGATCGAGTTAATTTTCTACGCACTTAAAGTAAGTATCACAAACAATATTTAATCTTAAACATTACTTAATCTTATTAATTTTGCTACCATTTGGTAGGTTTCCTATAATTTTTCAGACTACTCTAATGCTGTTGGCCGCAGCTGGCCTTTACAGCCTCACCAGACGATAGGGGATGGCTGAAGGCCAACTCACTTCTGACGGATACGATTTTAGTCTGAGGGCACCGCTATGGATTTGAACCTCGGCTCAGATCGTCGTAATTTCGATCCCCATTTGAATTCGACGGGGAATCGATCGCAGGGGAAATAATTTTATGTTGGATTGGATTGGAGATCGAAATTACGACGGCCTGAGCCGAGGTTCGAACAGGCGTGAGTTGGCTGCTCCATAAGTCCTTGCTTTGGTTTGGAGTGTCATCAGTACTCGCCCCATATCCTCCGGTGAAACTGTAAAGGCCAGCTGCAGCTAACAGCATTAGAGTAGTCTGAAAAAAAATTAAACATTAGTCTCACGAATATGAATTGTCAAAAAAAACTATAACAAAAATCAAACAACAATATATATTTATTTATTTATTTATTTGATTTTAATTCGGATTACATCCATATTGTGTTAGTAAAAACTTATAAAACTATGTTAGTAACTTATAATATACATATACGTAGATATATTTAATTCATATATCTGTGTCCACGTCCAGAAGCACTGGGTCCACAATGCAACGTTATCCAGTGCCTCTGGAGCGGACAATCAGGTATATTCGCAGTTTTTAGTTTTATATATATACAATAACAAAAAATAAAGAAAAGTTGTTCCCATGTATAGTACTACTGTTGCATGTTGGTCAAGTTATTAATTTTATATTCTATTTAAACTATTACCCGAGTCTTAATCGTTAAAACCCTGTTTGTATAATAATTTAAATAATGTATATTAAACATGAAAGTTTAAAAATAACAATTTTATACTCGCCCTAAAAGGCTTCATCAATTCATCCATTCAACCTTCGTTGTTGCCCCCGGAGTTGATACCGGGGCCTCAAGGCTCCAACCATCACCTCACAAAAGTCCAGGGCGTTGTCAAGGGAGGTCCCCTTGACAAAGCCGCGAGAGGGGTCAAAAAGTCATGTAATTCTTGAGACTTAATTTGTGAAAAGTGCGTAGCGGTTTCTATGTTGATTATCGCATGCTTAATCCTTGTTGTTTATTAAATATAAGTAAATCAATATTTATTTAAAACAGCAACACACAAGTTTCTTGCTTATTCTTCTTGTGACAGATTCATCACAAGAAGAATAAGCAAGAAACTAGTGTGTTGCTCTTTTACATAAATAATAATTACACAGTAACAAGTAAGAGGCAAGCTGCTGCAGGATGTAAAGGGGGGTGGACGCCCTAAGAAAAGATGTATGGATTGTGTGAAAGATGACATGAATAAAAGAAGAGTATGTTCAGATATGACGACCGATAGAGAGCAGTGAAAGAGAATGACATACTGCGCTGACCACAAATAATAGGATAAAAGCAAGGCATTCCGAATAAGCGGTAGAATAAAAAAGACTTGACTATTCAAAAGTGCTTATATTAAGTTTATTTTAATAAAGATTATTTCTATTCTATTCTATTCTATTGAATGTCTTAGTTCAACAGTCATAATATTATGTTTATACAAAGCCCAAAAAAGCGAAACGAATTTGTGCGCATTTTTTCAAACTAAAAATATCTTTATTCATGTAGGTCTATTACAGACTCTTATGATATGTCAAATCTACCGTCAGTTCGGTGTGCTTTCCAGCCAAGAACTGAAGAACCACAGCTTATTCTTTTCAAATATGGTTGTACATGTTTACAATAATAGAAATTCATTTTTAATTTCAAATTGGGAGAATACAGTGAGCACCAGCGTATGCTATTACAATTTTGTCAGAAACAAATGGTCTAATCAGTGTTCGTAACCCGAACAGTTCAGATCTACAAGCACGCGTTCACGAGTATGTCAGATGAGTCAGCCATCATTGCACTCAACCATATTATTATTAGTATGCACATCGACCCGACCCACCATGCCGGCAGAAGTTTGAATTTCATAGCGAGCATGACTGTTTCGGAGTTACTTAATTACATCTCGGTTTTATTGAACATTTCCTTTTAGATATCTTTATTGTTCTAGATACGCGACGAGTCTCCTGCCACACCACAATCTGAGGGACAATACGTTACTGACAGGTGAGGTATCAAATTCCAAATCTTTTACTGACATAGGTTCAGGTCTCTATTCCTCACCTCATCACATCATATATTCTATAACTCCATTCCCATCGATCGATACCCTGTCCAATTGAAACGGGGAGCACGGGGAGAAATTACGACGGCCTGAGCCGAGGTTCTAATGCCAAGCGGTGCTCTCAGACTAAAGTAGTATCTGTCAGGCGGGAGTTGTCCGTCGGCCGCTCCATAAGTTCTCTCTTTGGTTTGGAGTTCCATCAGCACTAGCCCCTTATCATCCGTTGAAGCTGTAAAGACCAACTGCGGCCAACAGCATTAGAGTAGTCCGCAAAAAATCGATTTCTCACACGATACACACATTTGTACAAACCTCAATTTTACCTCAATTAGTTCTTAGCTTAAAAACTGCACATTTCTATAGATTTTGCCAAGCAGAAGAGGAAACGCCACTACACATCCTATGTGCTCACTCATGCATAAACGAAATATCTCCTTTAGAAAGTATACACTCTATCCTGAGGAGATAAAAACCATCGCTCCTAAGAATATCCTTCACTTTAGTCCCTGACGGGGCACCAGTGGAGGATGATAAGATGAGAATTGAGGTCAGGTCTGTCAGCCCATTGTGACAAATTCACTAAGAATTTATCACGATGGTTTCCAGGGGGAACCGCGTGGAGGTCAACCTGACATGGTACATTGCTAGCAATGGGGTCAATAGTCCCCATTACTAACAATCCTCTTCCCTCCTTACATTGGTACTAGATGTCGTTGTGTAATTTGTCCACGGTTATTATAATAATTTACAGAGTGCTGGAATACGTAAAAGATAAACATCCATCGGCAATAGACAATAAAGAGTTCCTTAACGAATTCTTCCACTTGATGGACACGGTGGCAGACGCGTACGAGGGTACTACGAGCTGGTATGAAGTGAGCACAGACAGCAGGTATGAGGAGTTGGGAGGAAACCAGTATATGAGTTGGCATACGTACGGATATAAAACATTATTTGATATATTATTGGTAAGTGAATGTCTGTCTTTACAAAAAAATCCATTAAGTCGAAGAGTTGCGTGAATGCCTTTTCTTTAGAGTTAAGTGTCTAAGAGTTGCGTGAATGCCTTTTCTTTAGAGTTAAGTGTCTAAGAGTTAAGTGAATGCCTTTTCTTTAGAGTTAAGTGTCTAAGAGTTGCGTGAAGAAAATGCCTTTTCTTTAGAGTTAAGTGTCTAAGAGTTAAGTGAAGAAAATGCCTTTTCTTTAGAGTTAAGTGTCTAAGAGTTGCGTGAGTGCCTTTTCTTTAGAGTTACGTGTCTAAGAGTTGCGTAAATGCCTTTTCTTTAGAGTTACGTGTCTAAGAGTTGCGTGAGTGCCTTTTCCTTATAGTTAAGTGTCTAAGAGTTGCGTGAAGAAAATGCCTTTCTTTAGAGTTACGTGTCTAAGAGCTGCGTAAATGCCTTTTCTTTAGAGTTATATGTCTAAGAGTTGAGTGAATGCCTCTCGTTATGAATACAAAAATACAATAAAATGTCTTTAATTTTCAGAATACATACAATAACGGCCCGGGTCTACCCACACTAGATATAAAGTTAAACACGGAGGTGACGGCAGTGTCCTGGTCGCAGGATCCCACCCGGGGAGTGACGGTGACGACCAAGGATGGTACCACCTACACGGCTGACAACGTTATTGTTACCGTCTCACTCGGAGTACTCAAAGAACGGTCAGTCATACTTAAGATTTGTTTCCCGTGCTTGATAATTTATTTAGTACTAGCTGTTCCCGCGACTTCGACCGCGTGGAATTTAACTTTATTTTTCTAAAATAAAAGTAGCCTAAGTTACTCCTTATTACATCAGTTACCTGCCAATAAAAGTCCCGTCAAAATCGGTCCAGTCTTAAACAGACAGATAAACAAAAATGTTATTTTGGTGTATGTACCGTATTTATATTCATACTAGCTACTTGCCACGACTTCGCCCGGGTGTACGTCTATTATAATATATAAACCTTCCTCTTGAATCACTCTATCTAATCTATACATATATATAAAATTGGAGTGTCTGTTTGTAATATTGAAATAACCGTTTTTTACTACATGTATATGACTATATATACGGTACATATACCAAAATAACATTTTTTAATCTCTGAAATGGCTGGACTGATTTTGACGGGACTTTTATTGGCAGGTAGCTGATGTAATAAGGAGTAACTTAGGCTACTTTCATTTTAGAAAAATAAGGCTAAATTCCACGCGGACGAAGTCGCGGGAACAGCTAGTATAATATATATCCTTCAATTCTTGTCCCTGACGGGTCCAGATAGAGAACTTTGAAAAAGGGCGAGCACAATAGATCTATGCAGGTCGCAGTGTCTTAACCTCCTGGTCCTGACAATAGCACAAAGGGGCGAAAAGGGGTTTGTTAGTAACGTGGACTGATGATCTCATTGCTAGCAATGTACCATGTCAGGTCCACCTCCACGCGGTCCCCCCTGGAAACGATCGTGGTAAATTCTAGGTGAAATAGTCACGATGTGCTAACTAACCTGACCTCATGCTCATCTTATCATCCTCCACTGGTGTCTGATGGATATATTGAGTGGATTACATATATAGCAGTAAATATAATTTACTTTTGTTCCGATCACAGTTGCACGTTACATACAAACTGTTACTTAGCAACATTACTTATTTTAAATGTGATGGATTATAATATTTCTTCTTAAATCAATGTGCCTAATAGTGCCCGCCAGCGTAAAGCGTTAGCGCAGGCGGGTGCACCATACCATTATCATCCATAAAAAGACCAAAACGACAATAGCCCAAAACCCTAATTTTTTTTGTTTTAATAAGCCCTTATTTCCAGACATGAGTCGCTATTCTCACCACAGTTGAATCAAAAGAAGAAAACAGCTATAGACAAAATATCTATGGGTTTAGTTGGCAAAATAGTCTTGCTGTACTCACAAAAATGGTGGTCCAGTAACTCTATAAGCTTCATTTGGACCAGTGATGATGAGAGACTGTTGGCTGGTGATGAGAAGTGGCTGTACAATGTGACCAACGCATCTGAATCTATGGGTAGCCCTAAGGCTTTAGTGTTTTGGACTTGTGGGAATACAACTAAAGTGGTTAGTAGCGTTATATATGAATTTTTTTGGACTACTCTATTTACTAGCTGTGTCCGCGGTTTCTCTCTCGAATAGAAATATAGATATTTTCCATTCAACGCTGGTCCAGTTCCGGAGACAATTAAATTTCCACCGTAAAGTGACAAATTATATTTAACATTGTGGAAGGCAATTTTCTTTTCTTTAATATAAATAAAATTCTGATCTTTGGGGGAGGCCTATGTCCAGCAGTGGACGTCTTCCGGGCTGCGATGATGATGATGATGATGATGGACGGACAGCGACTTTGTGTTATAACGTTAGTATGTAATGATATTATAGCACAGGAGACAAATGTGCTTGCGGTTACTATTTATAAATCCGTGACTGCCTGACATTGCTAAACATGAAGTGGACTAATAGTCCACATCACTAACAGTGCCCTTTCCCCATCATTTTTATGTTTGCAGAACCTACTGGAACACCAATCCATTCACACGAGGCACATACTCGTACGACAATCTCCTAACTCCCCAGTACCCCACGGCCAGGTCGGACCTGGCTGAACCGCTGACGGACTCCTCCGGAAACCCAAGAGTCCTGTTTGCTGGAGAGGCAACCAACCCTACTCACTACTCGACCGTGCACGGCGCTGTTGAAACAGGGTACAGGGAAGCGGCCAGGCTGTTACCAAAGAGTAACTAAATAACTTGATAAGTTAATATAAAAAAATACGTTTCGTTACGTTACTAGTTCTTTAGTTACCGTTCAAGTGTGATTAGTATTCGCACAAGGGGAACTCGGAAGAAATAATGTTATATTTATGGTTTTATAATTTATACTTTTTTTTCATGTTAACATGGGCCTATTTAAGTATATAACTTAAAAAATAATAGGATGTTATCACATTTTGTTTTATTGTACCTGTCACCCCACCAAATACATTTCCCTTTTTCAGTTATCTCCTATTTCTTAATGTAAACTATGAACGACTAAATATATATATATAGTATTTTTTTTTTAAATGCTGTCATTACACCACATTTAAATCTGCTTGTAAAAAATATAAATATGACAAAAAAACTCAGTACCTTAAAATCTAGAACAAACATTTTTCTAGATGTGTCAACAGGAAATATCAATAATTTTGGTTGTTCCGTAATTAGAAACTATTACCACAGATAATATAATATTACATACAGATACCCCATCCCATACAAGAAAATGGTTCCTTCCTAACTCGGGCTATTCTTCGGGCTATTTTATTTCGCCGCCGTAGGCGCTAGATGTCGCTATATCTGAAGCAGTTCGGATTACTAGTAGGTGCTTAGTAACAAAGCATGAAAATAGATGGCAGAGAATTCGGTCTACATGACATCTGTTTTGCAAAGATACGTACATAATAGATATATAACTGTATCGAACTCCTGATTGGGTACAATCGAAAATTCAATGTAGGTATAATATTGTTCGCTGACAGTCTACAGACACGGCTACCTATGTATCTATGTACTATGTTACAGTTACTTTTTTACATGCCTACTTTTTTTCTCCCGACGAAGATATGTCGTAACGCGTCTGCACTAAAATCGGGCTATCGGTTAAGGAGCAATAGCTCCTTAACGAATAGCCCGATTTTAATACGGTTTTTTTATTTAAATTGTTATGTGATAGTGATAGATTTTAGCTATAATCAATTGATGTGCATATGGGTACCTCATATAATTTTCAGTGTATAATTATTTCTCAATATGTAGTTAATTATGGTAAACTGGCAATTTGTAAAACTGAAAATAATATCTGCAAAACATCAATCTGTTATATGTAGGTTCTTTCAGGGATACTACATCGGTGCTAATGACATGTAGGTACTTATTTTGATGTTATACCTATTTGTAGAACCTTCGATATCTACGTACCTTTACTGCTAGTTTTTTGGTATTTATGTAAGTTGTTATTCAGTTGAAATTAAGCTGCGAAATTACAGGATATTTGGACATAACATCTATGTTCTCCGGAATGATAACGTATGCGGGATATAGCGGGCACGACATGATGACGTAATGCTGTTTAATAATATATGTGTATGTATGTACGTCGGATAGCGTCGTGGTTGGATGGATCGTCAGCTTATTTACCATTTCAGTTAATAATAGTAGGTAGTAACTTTTGACAATATGGATGAAGGAGGGTAACGGTGATGATGATGAGATCAATAATGACTGTTGACGATAGTGACGGTGGTATTTATTTATGACCACCATAAAATTCATCATTGGCAGCATTCTCAACATTATCATCATTGTTCATCATGATGATTGAGATCAAATTAATTAATTGATTAAAAAAGTAGCAAGTATTAGGTAGGTACTAAGTCCTTATATGACTTAAATACAAGGTTCTGGGATGCTGTGATATACTACAGTCTCTAGATTTTGTTTCTTATTAGTATTCCACGACCAAAGTCTATAGACAGAGAAATATAGATTTACACAAAGTTTCTTGATGTAAATGGGAATTATTATACACATTGCATTAAAAAATATATATGATTACCATCTAATACAAAATCATTATGTAGTAAATAATTCCTGACATTTTAAATTGAATGAGGTGAAACTAACATTGCATGAACACAACACTTGAAGATCATAACATTTTTATTTCAGGTAATAAAACACTTTTAAATAATTTATTAATCACAGAATAAACAATTGTTAATAATTTACAATAATATTTCTTTCACTGCTTGTCTGTTATACCACTAAAACTTCAAACACTTCTGTTATTTTTATAGTATATTCCAAATAAATCAATATCAAGACATAATATTTCATCAAAATCATTTCATAATTAATTCCTGGTACACAAAATATTCCTGGATTTGTTGATGAAGCAATATAATAATAATCATGAGCTTAAATCATAAACTTATTTGCAGTCGGTTACACATAATATAATTACTTGGAATTTCTTCTCATCACTAGTCCGTTGCTTTCTTACTTATTTAATTATATTATTAATTGCATTGTGATTAATAATTTACAGATTTTTCTTCTGCTTTTTTCTCTTATTTTTACTTGCATTATTATTTTATACAGTAAAATGTTCATATATATATATATATATTTCTTATTCTTTCGAACTCCTGTTCTTTACAGTAAAAATGTTATTTATCTTCATCTGAATGACTAGGAGATTTAGAATATCATCTCTTATTTGTTTAAACTTTGTTCAGTATTAAGTTGTTGATGTCAGGAAAATCTGAAAACAATATCATATACCATGTTACATTTTCATGAACTTACATGAAAGTAACTAAACTGTAACCTTATTAGTACAATAAACATATTATTCATACATCATATTCATTCAGTTCTAATAAAATATAAAAATAATACTACTGTTTAGTACTTTATTTTGATTAATAATTTTCAGTATTTTCTCAATCAATCAAAAATTATAAAATCAGTGTTAGTTTTTTGAAGTTACATTCATACCAATAATAAAAACATAATAATACCACATTAAAGCGGTCACCAAGTACCTATGTTTATTATATTTTAATATGAAAGATACACACGCATACATATGCAAGTTTTTAACAACTTATAGTTACACCTGGTATGAGATAATCCTCAAAGACACGATAGTTTACTAAATATTTGTAGTAGTCCTTAGACACATTTAAATTATTGAGTTTGACAAAAAAATAAGAAGTTCAATGAACTCTGAATAGGGACAATTCAAAAGTTGAAGTACCTACTTAACTTAAATGATGAAAAAAGAGAAAAAATCCAATGCTAGTGAAAATATGTTTTAAGCATTTGACTTAAAGTCGTTTATCCTATTCTTTTATTCCTATATTTTATATTTTTAACATTTCATTTATGTTGCCAGTACTCGTTGTCATTTCGATATAATAAAAAAATATGGACCAACCTACGATTTTAAATCGATATTTTTATTTGTGATGAAATCTAATAATATAAATTATTAATAACCTACCCTTGAATGGAGATATTAAAAAACTAATTATCATAATGGTACGAGGATCAGTAATATGTATATCATAGTATTATGAATGATTATCGTTTCAAAACCTTGTACAATTTAGTAAAGTTGAAAATATCCTTCTACAAAAGCAAAATTCGAGTATTTGTAAAGTTTCTTATGAGTATTTTTAAAAATTCGAGGATCCTCATATTTAGCTATCAATGTCAGTAATTTAGATACCATATAACACTTGTTTATTGAGGTTTCATAAAGGTATAGCTGACCTTATATACTCTATACCACATTCAATTCTCATTCACCAATATGGCCTAGTTAGTAGTGTACATGTGTACCAATTTACCACACAGATACTCTGAGTTCCAATCCTACACTTTTTAGTCGCTTTCCAATTTGTTGCTTGTTGAGTTTACCGTTGGTCGTGTGATCCTCTGTGAGACTCCGGTTCGCCGTCGAGTCTCCAGAGTGAGCCCCGCAACTGGTGCCCACTTGCGCAAATTGTTGAGAGCGATACAGTTCGTAATCCAGCTACACAAAGTGTACTTTGTTTAGTCAGAGAACGCGCTAGGATTGCAGACCGAATTTGTTGACACAAATTCGTTGCTGCAATCCACTTGCGACTGTCTTACAGCGTGATCACCTGCCCTTTCAGGGCGGAATATACCTTTCGGTAGGTTCGTCGTGGGGTTCCAGCCCCCACATCACCCTCTTCCACCCCTCCAGTCCCCTTTCGTGTCGTGATGTCGCAAAGGGGCAAAGCCCCCAGGAAACCTCCTGACAGGGGAACTCCCCGAACTGTCGTGCGTCGGGATCTGAGGAACCCGACCAAGCTGGTCCCCGCCACTGAGCTGGGGACCTTCCACGCTCGCCCGGCATCCAAGGGCACCCCCTCTGCCCTCGCGGGAAGCGGGAATGATGCCGCCGACCGGGAACCAGGCAGAGGGGAAAGATGCGCACAACCCGGCCCATCTAAAAGACGCGCACCGCCGTCGCCGACCTCGCCCGCTAGAGGCGACAAACGGAGGGACGTAGAGGAGTCCCCCCCCCGCGACATTGACCTAGTGAAGGCGCCGCCGACGCCGAGAATCCGGCTTGTGGACAAGGGCTACCAACCCCTACCGTCCCAGTCGGGTACCGTGCGGCGAAAGCCTTCACCCCCTCCGCGCTCACCCTCCCCCCCGCCGGATAGCGGGAGCGAGGAGGGAGGGGAAGACAGGCGTTTTTACGGTGACGCATGCTCGTCGCCGTCACCAGCGTCGTCGCCCGAGACATCGCGAGCACCCTCGCCACTACCCCGTTCCTACACATTGGATAGGGGTGGATATGACGCCACTTCTTATGTGGCACTCGAGGCGGTTTCACAATCGCCCGAGCCGATGCTCCCCCCCGTCCCCTCGCCGCGACGACGAACCCCGCCGTCATTCGCGACAGTAGCGGCGGGTCCCGCCACCGCGGCCCCCGCCACCCCAGCCCCTGCCACCTCAATTGCCCCGGCCCTCGCTCCGCCCCTCCCCTCTCAGACGAGGAACGCCGACGCAGGCGCTGAACCCGCCACAGGGCGAGGAAAATACCCCCATAGTGGCAGAACGCCTCCCTAACTGGACGCGCCACTTCGACCAGCTCAGGCGCGTACTGGGGGAGGCACCCAACGCAAGACCCTACGGCACGGGGGTCAGATTCCTACCTAGGACGGACGAAGAATTCCGTGCCGTCCAAAGGTATTTGGTAGAGGCCAGCGAAAAGGACCCAACAATAAGTTGGTACTTTTATAGTCTGGCCTCCGAACTGCCCACTAAGGTGGCGATAAGAGGATCCCAGCCGACACGCCCAATGACAAGATTGCGGAGGCACTAAGGAGAAGGGGTTCGGAGTGCGGCTAGT